AAATTATGCCCATGTCGAAAACCTTAAATTTCAACCTTTGAACAATACTTCATGAAAACATGTCACGTATGAATTTTGCAGAGAAGAGATTTGACAAGATACCAATCTCGAGCCCAGGATCATTTTGGCTCCTTGCCAGCGGTATGGTGGTCATCACTTCCAAGGTACATCACTTACCTACAGTGGCCCACAACTGTCGCGGCAAAAGAAATAACCTCGCAGCAAAAGAAATAACTTTTGTCGCGAGGTTATTTCTTTAACTTATTCTTTTTGCCGTGAGGTTTTTTCTTTTGCCGTGAGGTTTTTTCTTTTGCCGTGAGTCTTTTTCTTTTGCCGTGAGGTTCTTTTCTTTTGCCGTGAGGTTCTTTTCTTTTGCCGTGAGGTTTTTTTCTTTTGCCGTGAGTCTTTTTCTTTTGCCGTGAGGTTTTTTCTTTTGCCGTGAGGTTTTTTCTTTTGTCTGAGTCTTTTTCTTTTGCCGTGAGGTTTTTTTTTTGGCTGAGTCTTTTTCTTTTGCCGTGAGGTTTTTTCTTTTGCCGCGTGTCTTTTTCTTTTGCCGTGAGGTTTTTTCTTTTGCCGTGAGGTTTTTTCTTTTGCCGCGAGTCTTTTTCTTTTGTCTGAGTCTTTTTCTTTCGCCACGAGTCTTTTTCCTTTTTGCCGTGAGGCTTTTTCTTTTGCCGCGAGGTTTTTTCTTTTGTCCCGTCTTTTTCTTTTTGCCGTGAGGTTTTTTCTTTTGCCGTAAGGTTTTTTCTTTTGTCTGAGTCTTTTTCTTTTTGCCGTGACAGCTGTAGGGGTAACCGTACTTACCTCTTACTTGGCGACCATACCGCTGAAAAGGAGCCAAGGAGGGGGGGGGGGTTCAAATTGTGCGTTTTGCTCAGTGTACACCTTACACAATTATCCTAGAATGTCACCCCTATTGTAAATGGGGCAGTGTTTATAATGTCCATAATCGATATTGGAACATCTATCTTGGGGCCGTTTTTTGTGGAAAGGTAGTGAGCCTGTACATTTTTGTCATGCTAATTACATTCTTGTTTCTGACAGAGGTACCTTCCCAAAAGTCTTTTGAGTGAAGGGAAGGGAGGGGGGAGGAAGGAAAGGAGAGGTAGCGATGCAACTCTTCTCTCATCCTATTAACTTACATGATGTATGATCTTATTTGTCATAGAATAAATATTGTTTAACCCTTTACATCCTAACATCAGTCTCAATATTCTCCATAATCTTCTCTACACATTCCCCATGGTACTGATGAGAATTCATTTGGCAATAAAAGCTTCCTACGTTGGTGGTGATCATTACCTTAATTCTTATTATCTCAATGAATGACTTAGCAGTTTTACTGTAGGGAGAAATTAGATGCTGGTCACTCTAGGGGTTTAAAGGTTAAGAAACTTTAACATGCTGCCATTTTCTAACAACAACCTCCAGGCACAGCTGAAATATTAGACACAGGAGAAAAGCAGAGAATAGCACACAATAGTTGTATTTTGGCTTGCTGTCTTTTGGCTGTTTGACAAAGAAATTTTAAACAAGTTTTTTGGTACAGTCCTTCTTTTGATGATCATGCTTTTGTTCTCTATCTAGTGTCATGAAATTCAGTTCATAGTTGCAAAAATATATAAGTTATTGTTTTTAAAGACCAGCCATAGCACAATGCAATTCCAGAGTTTTCATTAATCAATAAGAGATGGGTTCTGAGCAGAGACAGCCTTGGTCTTTGCCAAAAAAATATTAATTACCTGAAAAAAAAAAAAAAAAAAAGAAATGAACAGCAACAGTAACTTTACAGGTTGTGCATTGCAGGATCAATAAATACAATAACAGTGGTACAATCTTAGTGAGAAACAGTAACTACATATGACCATAGCAACTGAACACGAGTTTGAGATCAGTGTCCTTTTTTACTTTCACCACTACCTTCTCTATTGTAGGATACACTGAATATTAATGATAAATTCCATGTTTTCAAATTTCTTCATAACTGTGGCAATCTAGTCAACAACAAGCTCCACCATTTCTATTTCCTCAAACTGAGATTTCATTTCAGATACCCAGTTGTCATCCTCTAAATCCTATGAAAGGAAGAAAAACAAACACCATCTGTTACTTTAAACAACTGCAATGAATAGTGGAGAAGAAAACCAGGTAACCTGGAAAGAGTACCACAAGGTTAAGTATTGCCAGTATACCTCTTTTCATTTTGTACCATACCTGCTGGATTTGTACCCTTTTTCCAGAAACAAATTTCAAGGACTTTTCCAAGGCTCAGATTGACTTTTCCAGGACTCAAATTGAATTTTCCAAGACTCCAAATTCACCTTAAATACTTTTATTCTCACTGAAGATTTCAAAATCAATTCTCCTTACAGTCTCTATACATATCTTAACATGTAAATTCTGAAAACTTTATTGCTTGATTTAGGCAGATTTCCAGGACCTGAAGGTTTTTTTTCCAGAACCTTCCAGTCCAGAAAAGTGTCAAAATAAAATTCCAGGACTTTCCAGGTTCTCCAGGACCCATATAATCACTGTATCTGGGATACAGAAGCATGAATGCATGTCTTATAGACTAGACAGCAAATAAATTCACTTCAAGTACTTTTCTTCTTAATCCTCCTACTTTCAATTACTGAAACCTTGTTTCAGCCACTTTATGCAGTGTTCTCTTTCTCAGATAGCAAACACTCAAGTTGACTGCATGTAGTACCTCTTATTAATGCCTAGAATTACATGGAATTCTTAAAATTCAACAAGTAAAAGGATTGCTCTACCCTCTTGGAAATTTCTTTCACCTGTCATGCTTAAAATATGGAAGAACACTGCTTATGCATTGCATCTAGATCTAAATGGCTTGATTTTTGAAAATAGAAGTAGAGACAGTATCATGCTTTTTATTGCAATTGGGCTCAAATTAACTTTTGGCATTTTAATTAAGGAATTTTTTTAATACCACAATGCAAAAATCACTATGTAGTACTTTAACACCTGTGCAGTAAACATGTTGACTAGTAAAAACCAAACTTTCCATCTCTCTTATAATTCTATTTATAAATAACATATCTTACCAAAATTTTAGTTGTTTTCTTTTTCTTTATCTTCTTGGTGGGTTTTTCAATTGGTACATCAAACACTCTGAGGTCAGCTTTCCTCTTTCTCGGAGAAATAGATGTAACTGATGATGACACAGAAACAGACCCAGGAGACCTAGCAACACACTGAGGTGGCACTTTTGGTTCTCCAACAGGAGAAAAGGTAAGAGGAGAGGCCAAGTCATCAAACCCATAACATGAACTGTACACACTTCTTTCTGGTTGTATGCTTGGTGTGGAGTGTTCTGGGTGAAATAAGTGTGAACAGGATTGCATGAGCTGTTGCTCCAAAGGAATGTTTTGATCCACAATCATGGATGATAAGATCCCCTGTTCAGGTTCTGAATCTGCATCATATGGGTCAGCATCTTTTTGTTGAAACATGGACCTTGTTTTTCTTGTGTTGCTTGCATTTTCTTTGTCCTGAAGAGTATAAAGGAAAAATCTCAGATTACACAGAGAACAAGAAATTTCTTGAAAGGGTAACACGGTGGCAAATACTACATATAATTGCTCTAAAACTTCACTTTATTATTTCATAAACCTATTAAATTTGAATTCAAATTAAAACTTATTAAGTTTAATGTGAAAGTTTAACCACTGCCAAGAACTGCAAGATTATAAAAATTCAGATTTCCTTGACATACTAGTCTTGTTCTTGAAAGATGTTGGGCTACTTCATGTGTTTCACTGAGTTTTCCAGATTCTGAAGATTCTGTATCTTCTAAAAGAAAGAGAAATAGGTGATACCAATATAACCTGGTCACATAAAGAACACAAAAATTATTTTCTAGCACAATAATGAACTGTTCTGACCACTCAGTTACATGAACATGGCACATGCATTACAGGGCTGTCAATTAGGTTAAAAGTGGAGGGATGCCAATTTTTTTATGTCAGATTTCATGCAAGATTGGGAACTATATGAGTTTCAAAAAGTGTCTGATGTTCCATAATGTTCACACAAACATTCTGACAAAATCTGAACCTGGAATCAAATCCCACACCTGATCAAAACTATGACAATATTTTTGAATGTGATTGGTTATCACCAGCCTGATTTGAGCATTATGTACAGGAAAAAATTAAGTGCTTCTGATAGGCTAAAAATTCATGTAACACGAGTGCAAATGACAAATAGAGGTAAAATTTCCGCACAGACCCATCCTACATTATGCATTTAGTTCTTGGATAGAGAAAACAATGACAAAAACAATACTTTGCCATTGGGAAAACACATTTGTTTTACAATAGTATGGGGCTGTGCGGAAATTTACCACATATAATAACACGATTTCTCTTACAATTTGGTGTACTAAGCACTTGTAAATTTTTCGAAGACGACCAATTGCACTTACTCTCTGGGCTTGTGCAATTTTGTTGTCTCTGAAAAATTTACTCGTGCTATAGACACCAAATAGCACTCGAAATCATGTTATTAGCTAAACTAATATTAAACCTGTGGTTGAAACGGTTACCCTGGCGCCAGCGATTTACAATTGTCAACGTTTTTTAAACTCATCTGTTTTAAGGTTGAAAAAAAATATCAAACTCATTTGAATAAGGAAAATTTTGAAGACCAATGAAAAGATTCAGCGAATTCATACACATTGTATTCACTGACCAGTGTAAGATTTTTTGAAGTTGTTTGTAAAGCACACGGTAATATCTCACCTTGTTCGACCTGGTTTTTGGCTTTGAATTTTTTCTTCTTCTTCGTGGGCATCTCCTAATATGATATATAATTAATACTGACGTTAAAACTCGAAAACTCAAGGATTTACCCCATCGCGAAGGCAGTTGTTTACTTTGAATATACAACGCGTACTAAAACTTCGAAAAAACGCGCCTCGCTTCTGACAAGCGATCACTGCGCAAGTAGTGTCCATTCTCTCACGGTCAATAAAAATGTATTGGTCTGCGATGAAGAGAAAGATCGTATGTCTTCCTCAAAAAGTTTATGTGAGTGAAATTCTTCTCTTGATTATTTCGATAATTTTAGAGATAACGTCTTCTTCGTTCCTGTATACCGCAAAGAAGAATTGCAGGGGACAGTGTGTTCTGTTCGCGAAGTTGTACGAGAGAGCTCGAATTCTCCAAGGTTCATCTCCCAGTTGGTGCTATTTGCCAATGGTTTTCAACTTAGCTGCTACCACAACTTCAGTCTTTGTGCTCAAATTAATAATAAAAGGAAGAAGGTATGGATAAGTAGATTGTATAAATTTTACCGTTGAACTGATATTTTTTAAGCAGTGATACCAACTGACAAAGTTATAATTTTCAAAGGTGTTTTTAGTTAATTAATATAGAGAAATGATTGATTATTTTGCAATTATTATCTTCATTGTTTGTCTTCAGTACATGTAAAAATGTATTATTTTATTCTATCCTACGTTATGGAGATATTTAAAGATGGTTTTCCTCTTTTGTTATTCAGTTTTTTTGGTTGGTATTAGTTTGGTGTCAGTGATAGTTTAATTTTTTTTTTGTTGCTGATATTTAGATGCATGGTGATATAATTGAATTGTTTTCTGGTTTGAAAATTTTTTAAAAAAGATCAGCTTTTGGCCCCTAGGCTGCAGCCTTTGATAATTGATATGTAACACACAAGTGTATGAGTATACTTATAGAATATAAATATATATTCATAGAATGTACAATTATTATAGATTTAACATAATAATGAGAGATGTGCTTAGAGGTGATAACTCAAAACAAACAAACAAACAAACAAAAATCACTGATTGCATGTCAGCCCTACGGGTTTGTGCACTCTTCTTGGTCTTTGAGTATCTTGGTCTTGGTACTGGTCTTAACAGTATCAAGTATTTGATATATTATATGAAATTGCACTCTAACCATGCGATTACCCATATTTGCTGTAGATTCTTCTATCGTATTGTAATAAACATTTTTGGCTCTGAAATATAGTGATTGCTTTGCAAAAACTGTTAGTGTCTCATGTTGAACCAAATCTGAGTTTTAAGTAAATGTGCAGTGGTATATGTTTTGGGTATTTTTCTTCCTTTCAGATCTTGTCCAAATTAATATAGCATTTACCCTTTAACTCCCATGAGTGACCAAGACAGAATTTCTCCACACAATATCAAAGCATTATAAACCAGATAAGTCATGAGAAAAAAGAAAAATGTCAATTTGTGAGTAATTAGTTGATCCTATACAGAATTCTCTGAACAAACATTATAAGAATTGTGTGATTGACAGTAGAAGAATTACAAATTTAAAGGGTAAACAGGGCTGTTTTCTTTTCAGGTCACGCAGCAGTGATTTGAGAGTTCTTGGTCTAGGGTCACTTTCTGCATTTCTTGTTTTTCTATCATCTTGGATTATTTCTTCTGGATTTCGTGAATTTTGCAAGTCATTCGTCATTAATAAGTAAGTGAACACTTTTTTTTGGGTCAAACATAGTGAAGAGGGGGTTCATGCTAGTTATAAAATATCTAGAAAGCCAAGGAGAGTTGTAGAAAATAAAATTAATAAAAATAAATGAAGAAATGAAACCTTTATCACACTTTATTACACTATTATGACATAATTAAGCAACTTCTTGATAATAGTCACAAGGAATGTCAATAAAGTCATGGTAAAAGTCACTAGTATTATTACATTCAGGAGGATTCCTCACTTCACTAAACACTGTAAATACTTTCTGTTATTAATTTTGTCATTGATCCACACTGAAATGGCCTTTACTGGTAGAAACAACTGTAGGTCTTCAAAAATTGCTTCACTGTGGGTAGAGTTATCTCATAATGCATTGTTACATTTAATTAAGAATTCCTTGTTTCTAGTGTGAAAAAGTTAACAGTAATTTAGAAAAAAGGCCACATTGAGGCCTTATTTTCACTAACTGCTCAACCCTTTAACACTCATGAGTGACCAAGACAGAATTTCACCTAACAAAATCAATACAATATCGACCAGATTTATTTAGTGATGAGATTAAAGAAAAATATCAATTTGGGGATAATTAGTTGATCCAATACTAAATTCTCTGAACTAACATTAATAAGAATTGTATGGTTGACTGTAAGGAGAACTACAAATTTGATCTGGAAGTTAAAGGCTTAAGCAGTGTTCATTACTGCAAAGATCTCTCTCATAGTCAAAGGCTGTATTATAGCTAGAGGGCCCCTTTTATTCCTTTGTGATTATCATTATAAGGAAAAAAATCAACAGATGAATCAAGAGAAAAAAAAAACACCCAATCACACTCTGTGTAAAAAGTACAGGGGACCCTCTTGCTAATTTTTTCAGCATCTCTTGAAACCTAGTGTGAAGGAAAAGCAGAAAATGGTAAAAACACGCATTTTTTACATGCAAGGTTCTTAACCCTAATCATCCTGTAACATCAGTATGCATATTCTCTGTACTGTTCTCTGTACATTTCCTGAGGTGCTGACAAGGAGAATTAGTGTAACAATCAAAGCTTCTTTACCTGGTGATTATTTCCTTTTTTCTTATAACCTTAATGGGTGTTTCATGGGTGATATTGTATGGAGAAATTAGATGTTAGTCACTCTCAGGGGTATAAGGGCTAAGTTAGGATGGGTGAGAAAAATATCAACACCATGGTGTGGATGAACATTTATTGCTCTCTCTTATTTGAGGGAAGAATGCAAGTTTTGGGCATTGAGAAATACATACTGATTTCCATGCAAATTACTCTTATTGACCATTCATAATTCTTGTAATCATATAACATGGGTTTAATTTCTAGATTATTTATTTAAAATAATTGTTTCTATGTCATCTTTGCAGATGCATTCATGCACATATAAAGGCAATGGATTGGAAAAATTTCACCCCTAAGTACACTGATGGTGGCGATTTATATTTCACCTTACAATTAGCAGAGGTAAACATTACATTTTGGTCCTGCCTTCTTAGAGAAGTCTCCTAATTGGTTAGATATCAGGGAATTCTATGATAATCATAGAACTCCCATAGTTAATTTTGATTCAACGGCCTAGTGGTCAGTGTGCTGGACTCTAGGTTGAAAGATCTGGGTTTGAGACCTGGCCAGATCATAGATTTCTTTCTCACAATGTTTCTCTCCATCCAGCCATATAGATGGGTTCCTAATAAAATGCTGGTGGGTACCTTATGATGAACTGGTATCCTATTGAAGAGGAAGAAGTACATGTAACACTGTACTTACCTGTGTATTGTGTGCACCTGTACTCCCAATTGCTTCTTGTTTTGGGACTGAGATAAACTCTTACTGGATGAGCCAGTTGGCTTGAGTACAGACTTTCCCTATGACCATTTCTATTGAGATGTGAAACATATTCATGGGTATAGCATAAGACATTATTTACTAGAGATAATACAATGTAGTTGTACAGTTCCAGGGCTTTTTCACATGAGGGTGACCATTGTTAAGTGTCAATTCATAGTTTATCTGATTGGAACCCTAAGAATCAATTTATCTTTATTTTCCAATGTCTTTTGGTGTAAAAATTAGAGGGGGAAAATAAAATAAATTAGAAGTATAGAAAAATAAATATCCAGTTCAAATGGCTTGAATTACAAGCTTCATCAATTTTGATCTAATTTTGATTGTGTTTGTGTTTTTTTTTTATTAGGCATCTGGCTGGTCTGCCTGTCTACTCCTATGTGTTTTTTGTGTGACTTGTGCTCGAAAATTGTTCGCAGGACTCCACACAACTAAAAACTTAAATTTTTATGATGAATAGTCTTTTACAAAGGAGTATATCTCAAAATGAAAAACTCAAGCTAAAACTTCAGAATGTTGTACATGTATCTCCTTTGATAAATGGTAAAAATTGTAGACACCATAGCAACATGTCTTATTTCCTATATTAGGTTAATAGAAGGTAGATTATGGTCCATTGCACCCCTGAACAGTTTCATTGTTTATTGTTTTTTTTTTTTATTTTTGAAGGCTCTTCAAGAATAAAAAAAAATGTGATAGTGGATTTAAAAGAAATCTTTATCTAATATATAACATAATTTATTTCTTCAAAAGGTCTAGGTAGCAGCAGAAATGTATCAAATTTAAGAAAATATACTACTTCTTTTAAAAATCAATTTTGATCTTATTTTGATTGTGTCTAAATATGTTTTTAAAAAATGTTGTATATTTTCTTAAAGAAAGAAGAGAGAAAGTCATGGTTACTAGCTAGCTAGTCTAGGCTGATTTAACTCCCAAGGTCTCATTAGTAATTCTCCTCACTGTCGCTTAAAGTTCTTGTGATGTTAGTTTGGAGAATTTGGTATTGGATCAATTTATAATTCCCTAATTGATATATTTCTTCATTCTCATCACTTGTCAGCATGATATTGTATTGATTTTGTAAGGAGAAATTCTGTCTTGGTCACTTATGGGAGTTAAAGGGTTAGGAGAATTTGCTGTTACATTGTTACTCTTAAACTGTTATTTTTTGCTCATCTTTTAGCGAAATATGGTGAATTTCACCCATAGCATTTAACAAAGGTTAATAAAGAAATACACCATATAAAAGTTTGGTCAAGTCCAAGTTTGATAGCAGTAAGTTTGCGAGAACTATTGAATGGGACTAGTTTTGCAAGTTTTCGTTTAAGGTTATTTGATCATAGTCAATTATATTCATATTATACGGAACAGATGTTTCGTTGAAACATTTAAAATGAAATTGAAACATGTCAGTGAAAGAAATAGAGACTCTGCAAAACACGCCTGGTGCGGTGCCATTAGAATCCAGTCTCTCTCTTTCGTCCCAATCATGAGTCGATATGGCGTACTGGTGAGATCACCAGAAAGTTACGTCGTTATTTTCACGGAAATATGGTGTTAAACTTCACAGGATTTTCCAGTCTCAAGTATCAGTTTCATATTAGTGAAGCTATTCTCTTGATCTTGTCGATGCTTTTGGGGATATTTTCTAGTCTGCGGCTGAATGAAGTTACTAAGTTGTGCGCTGGACAATGCATGTTATTCGCGAAGTTGTACGAACGAGCTCGAATTCTACAAGGTTCTTCCCCAGGGTGGTGCTATTTGCCGGCCTGTTTGCACTTAGCAGCAGGGTTATGCTCATTGGTTGTGCTCAGCTTCGTTAGAGGGGGAAGATATAGGTGAGTATGTTGTTCAAATTAACCTTTCGGCAATGATTCGGATCCCTGTGCTTGCGCAAAGATTTCTGGGATCGCTATGGGGCAAACGAAGGAAATATTTGGCAAAAGGTAGTTTCTACGTCCAAAATAATAATTTTGAAGAGAGATAAGTGCCTATTTGCTGCCTTTTTATCAGAATTAACATAATTTTGAGATGAGAGAAGATCAAGTTTTTGTTTGAACAACCAAAAAAAATGTAATATATGTTGTACTAGCCTGCAGCAAAAATTATGACCGGCATCTTTGATTTTGATTGCAGTGAAAGGCGTGGGAGAGAAAGAAATCCGTACAAAGTGGGTGAGGGACAGTTAAAAACAAGGATAGGGGTGGGAGTGGGGGTGTGAATATTCTCTTTGCCTTTCCCCACCCCTTTCCCCCATGGGCAACTCTAACTCCAAATCAAACATGGCCTTTTGAAGAAATGATTACAAGCATCTCAATGTTGACTCCCCTTAATGAGATGCTTGCACTGCAGGCTAAAATTATACAAATAAACTTTTCTCCTTGCAAAAGGATTATTGTGAAACTGTTTTAATGCTCTCACCACGTATTACATCTTAGCAACTTGCAATGTTTGCCCTGTGGCGATCCCAAAAGTCTTTGCAAAAACAAAAATTACAGGCAACTTATTCATTAGCTTGACACACATTTTTGTGGTTAATTGCACCAGTTATGGGGGATACGGAACCATTTGCTGGGGGGGAGGGGTCACTGATTGGGGAGACAAAACATATACATGCAGTCAAATCTCAATAACTCAAACCTTCAAGGGAAATTGATAAATGTTTGAGTTATCAGAAGTTGAAAACAAAAACGACTAAAAATAAGGCAAAAGCAGTGTTTACTGTCAGTATTGACTGACATGCTTCAAAGTGGTTTGAGTTGTTGAGGGTAAAAATATATAGAGAATGGCCTGAAGGGAAACAAATTGCTTCATGTTAGCAGGAAGTTTGAGTTAAGCAAACAGTCATGATAATTGATAATAGTTGTCGCAAGTTTCATCTTTCATTCACTACCATCAAGTATCATGTTGAATTTGTACATGTCCTAACTAAATGATAATTGATGATCATGGATGATAGTGCATGAGAGTTTGTGTTCAAACACAAGTGATAGTTGAAAGTATCATAAACTATCATGACCATTTGAACTGGGGATTGAGTCGATTAAAACCTTAATTTTGCCAGACTTTAAGCCCCTCTCTCCTCCTCCTCCCCTACATCTTGAGAGTACCCCAAAAGCAATTTAGCTATATTTTCCCCCTCTTCCTGAATTACATACTTATTGTAACTTACAAATGATTACATAGGATATGTGTGTTTAACCAAAAGAAAAGTTGTAAACAAATCAGAGTCCTCTTTCCTCAGGTCACAGAGCAATTGTTCAAGAGTTCTTGGTCTCATATCTGTATCTGCTTTTCTCGCATTTCTATCCTCTTGGATTATTTCCTCTGGATTTCGAGAATTTTGCAAGTCCTTTGTCATAAACAGGTTAGTGAACATTCTTGCATGCTATTCTTCTATTAGCTCTTTCACTACCAAGATTTGAACTATAGGTTATTTTAACTGAAGGTTATACATTTATTGATACTATTTTCGTTAAAACCAGGTAGCTGCAATCTGAACTAATCATTTTCACCTTGTCCGACTTGCAGATGCAGTGCAGAACATTTTAGCTCAATGGATTGGAAAAATTTCACCCCAAAGTATTGTTATTGTTCAAATTCATATAGGTTACTACAAAAAATTGAGGTAGGTTTAAGACTTGAACCAGGTCAAATGTAATCTCTTAGATTCCTTGGTCAGTTATTCTCCTTATAAAGTTATTACTTGTAGTTGGGACTCCAATGGCAGGGGGGTCTGCACTTCATCCCTTTGAAGTTCTTGTTTCTCATGATTATTGTTATGGCTTGATCATTTGGATACTTGTGACTGACCTTGCAGATACTGCATGTTTCAGATTGTCCAGCTTCTAAGCAGATACATGGTTACCATTGTCAGAAACTATAGCCGGTAGTTTCATTGTTGTTGCATTACGCTAAGAGACGGGAACCTTGTGACAAGGATCTTTGATCATGTTCATATTCCATGTGATTGCAGAGAAATGTTTCTCTAGATTATTAAAAGGGTGATTTGGTAGGATAGGTGTGTTAGTGGAATTTTTGACAACCATGATCATAATCTAAAGGGGACACTCCACAATGCATTTATATCAGGAAATTTTTACACAAAGTAAAAAGCTGCCTTTTGCAGGGACAAAGTAACTGTGTACAAATTGAAAATTCAAGATATCTTAATTTTTTTTAAGTTTTGTTATTTTCAGTGTGTGTATTTGTCTCTGTGCTAGAGTGGGTGTTTAGGGAAGGGATCATACTGTTTCATGCTTCCATGTTACAATATATTTTTAAATACTTTGAATTCTTCTTCCTGGTTTCTTATATACCTGTATTTCTCTTCTTTTCAGGGTTCTAGTTGGTGTGCCTGTTTGTTATTGTCTGTCTTATGTGTGACTCATTTTGTGCGATTATGGGCTGGGCTGCAAATTACTTCAACACCTTGATAGATGATTCAGTTTAACTGACTTCTTCCGCTGACCTCTCCATGAGGATCATTTTGACACCTGGCTAACTCAGTGCTGACAGATTTTCCCTTGACCCTCTTACTCCCAAGATCCAATTAGTATTTCTCCTTAGTGTTTTTGACATTCTTATGATATTACATTGTAGTTTGGAGAATTTGATATTGGATCAAATAATGACTCCCTAATTGATATTTTCTTCTCATCTATTGCCTGATTGATACTGTAAGGAGAAATTCTGTCTTGGTCACATTTGGGAGATATAGGGTTAACCCTTTAACTCCCAAAATCTGATTGTTAATTCTCCCCTGTAGCTGCTACACATTTCCTTGTAAATTAGTTATGAGAACTTGGTGCTAGATCAAGACAGCGGCTTCTACCTGATAATTTTGAATATTCTCATCACCTGTTTGCTAAAGAATGTATGGATATTGTAGGGAGAAGTTTTATGTTAATCACTTCTGGGAGTTAAAGGGTTAAGTGTGTTTTGTTGTTACATGTACAAATATCAGCTCAAGAGTGTTATCCTCTAAATCAGAATAGACTTCAACTTAGTTACATAGAATAGAAAAATAACAGTAGGAGTTCATACAAAATTATTCTAGAATTAATAGTGTGATGCATGTAGGCTCTAATGAGACTCTGCCGGTTGAATAGCTAGTGGTTTATGAAAAGAAGGGAATAAATTTCATTGTTTGGTGTCCTGATATTTACCCTTTAACTCCCAGATCAAATTTGTAATTCTTCTCACCATCAACCATTCAATTCTTATAATGTCAGTTCAGCGAATTTAGTATTGAATCAACTAATTATCACCAAATTGGTATTTTTCTTTATTCTCATCACTTATTTAGTTGATATTGTATTGATATTGTAAGGAGAAATTCTGTCTTGGTCACTCATGGGAGTTAAAGGGTTAAAGGATATTAGTATTTTATTTCATATTGAATAATTTAACAAACATAACTCACTGATGGCTCCTCTCAATAACTTATAATAACTATTTATTCAATCTCTCTATGCCCATTAAGGCAGTAAATAACCAAAAAAATCAGTCAATGTTGTGATGATGAAAGTGACAAAACCATGCAGTAGGCTACACAGTTTTCCACTTACACTGGAGTGACACCAATTGAAACTAAATAGAAACCAATTTTAAGAATTTAAGCTGTGAAACTTAGAAACAATATAGATATATGTACCAGAAAGTCAATATTAAGAATGTTAATTAAGCTATAGAACACGCTTTCTGTTGTCAACTCCAGTTCCCAACATCCCGCCACGGTTGTAGGCTGGTTAACTGATAGAAAGTTTTGTCTAATGCTCTTTTATAAAATAACTTTGGGTTAACCATTACAACAAAGGGTAATATCTCAGTTATTTTATTAAGTTTTTCAAGTCTTACAGTATAAAGCCTTTTATGCTATGGAATATTAATTTTTTTGATATTTGGTATCTGATCCTTAAGATGATGACTCTGGACACTGTTGGAGACAGTTTACATTATTTCATCATTATTTATTTCAAATGAAAAACTTCTCATTTGGTTTTCTGAAGCTATAAATTTCTATATTATTAATTCAGCAAAACATTTCTGAATATTTGCAAACTAAGAAGTACTAATTTAAAGATATCTTGATCCCCTGTCACTTGTAACCTCATAAAATGGAATTTCTTGGATGGGTGATGAGTATGCCATTCTCTCATCAGTAAGGTAATACTCAGAAGCTTTCATCTCAAACAAGCTTTTCTTGAAATTTCTACCAGAGAACACTGTTATGATAAACCAAATCCCTAAAGCAGAATATGATGCAACCTGGTGTAAAAAAAAAATGAAAATGCGTGTATTAAAATTGCCCTTTCATTGTTTACTTTGAGGTCACACGACATTCAACAACGAAACTATTTTCAGGCAGGTCTCTGAGCAACTGACATTGCAAAATTTTCAGTGGTCAGTCAAGTGGCATGGGTACCTGTGCTGTGTTACCTATGAACATTGACTGTTGCAGGTGAACAAAACATGACCAAAATTGGTGTGAAATGGTGTTAAACTAAGGTTGACCGCCATGTAAGTTCTCCTCACAGCAGTACTGCTCATTAGCATCTTCTATCAACATTGTGAGAATATAGAAAATGATTGCCAATCCAAGAGGCTTTGATTACAAGACAATTTCTCCTTGTCAGTACCAAAAGAAGTGTATAGAGGGAGTATAGAGAATATGGATATTGATGTTAGGGTGTAAAGGGTTAATTGAAATTTAAGTAATGTATTCCTTGTGCTGTATTACAAATCACTTGATGACTAGGCTCTCAAAACAATAATTTTATTTTCCTAAAAATTTCAATATTTCCTGAGGCTTTGCCTTGGGAAACACTGAGATTCTCAGGAAACAAAATTAACCAATTTTTTTTAAGAGACCTGTCATTGAATGATTTGCTATACAGCACAAGGAAGACCTCACAAGAATTATTGACTAGCTGTTCAGTGTTCAATGTTAACATTCATTTGAAATTTTTATTCAATGACATCACAAACCTTAGCCTACATTTAGCTGTGTCCTTCCCCTCCCAAGGTAAAATGAAGTGGGGGGGGGGGGGGAGGTATGGCTATATGTAGGCTACACAAACCTCTGCTATAAACAGGTGGGTGTAAAAGTTTCTGCCATCAATACCAACTGGTCTGTAAACAGTCCAATCCCACCTTTCTGCATTTTTGCACCTGTAGATGATATAAGCTTCACATGTGAATAGTCAGAGATTGTCATTATTTCAATAGCTATGATTTAGATTAAGGAGGTTTATTCCAGGGTATTGTTGGGAGAAGAAATTAGGTGCTGGTCACTCCTGGGTGCTAAAGGGTCAAACCCTCAAATCAGGAAGAACAGTAATTATAAAAATAAAAATCAACAAACTCAGCTTGCATGTGATACAAATTTCCTGAAACAGAAATTTAAAATTTGCATTAATGTAAACAATGGCAAGCAGGTGGTTTTGAAGGCTTGCAGAGCTTTCTGTTCCATAAGAACAATGCTGCTTGTGAGAAAGACTTCCAATGAAACATACCTTTCAATGTTTCCATTGTTGGTTACAGAGTTACACCATTTGTTGAAGCCAGTGACGATAAATATAGTACACACCAAGCAGTTGATCCATGCAATTGCTGCTAAAATGGTGGCCATGAATTTGAAGTAAACTACGCTAGAAATGGTGGAATGTTGAAGGAAATATGAGTAGGGCTGAAGACAAAAACTTAAAATTAAATTTAAAAATTGATTCTTTGTAGAAGTGTCAATGTTGACAGGTGGTGACAAATACACACATGTACATGTGAAACCTCTTTAATGTGAGCTTTAAAAAGCGGAATTGCAAACTTAAGAAGAACAAAATTTTCCTGAAAACTGGACATCTAAAGGTTGATGGTAGGGTTAAGGAAGCAGTATGTTTAACTTTTTTTATCTTTTACTTTTTAACAAATCGATTCGAATTCTATGGCGCTGTGCGTCCATTTTTTACTTTTTTAATTAGTAGATCAGATTTTGACGTCTCCTGTGATGTACAACTGTTCAGACCCGCGGTAACATGGAATCTATACTAGAGAGGGAATAACTAATCTGGGAGATAAAAAATTGGAAATAAAAATATGCATGATAGAGTTGAATATATTTAAAAATAATAAGTAAGATTTCGGCACTTCGATCGTCTTAATAAACTCGCCATCAATTTCATTTAATCAACACCTTACCTCCAATTGTAGGTGTGTACACTACAGCAGCATTGGCCAAATCCGAGCAAAATCGCTAAGATGGCGTTTGTCAAAGAGGAGTAAAATGTAAAATTACAGTACGCTTGACTTCCCATGAATATGTTGTTGGTTAGAATATCCAGTTTTCCAAAAAGTAAACAGTCACCATTGAAATTAGTTTCATTGAGTTTAAGAAGAACTGAAATGCAACATCCAGCGGCGAGGGCTACGATGTAGAAGAAAATCTCAAATCGCTCCGCTCGCTGCATATTTTGTGAAAGCAAAATATACACTTTTTCTCGATGTAAACATTGAATTGCTAGGATTAGGAGATATCGGTATGCTAAGTATTCCAATAATTTGCTCCGTTTATCTTCGGCTACCTTCGGAAAGTTTCGGGAAAGGTTCGTTGCACTATTTATTGACCAGTTTCTCTCACTCGTTTGTTGCAGCAAACCCTGGCTAACATGGCGGCCGTTCAGGAAGGGCTGGTGGGTAACGAGGTTGAATCCAGCGAATATCCTTTTCATCCTGTAGGTTGGTATCTCATGTTCTCTTTTATTGTGAAGCTTTATTTCCATTCATTCGTCAGGCGACAACTTGCGTTTGAGAATGGAGACAAAAAGGTAGTAGAGTAAATGTTAGGTGCAACATGCTTTTTCTTTGAGCCTGAATCTCTCTCTTATCTTTCTTCGATGTAATTGAAATGCAGCGGCGAAGGACAACGGTGAAAATACGGCAGAGGGTGATAATGATGCAAACATAACTGAAACGAAGGCAAATGGTTCCATTGGTGACGAAGATTCTACAAATGTCCCAGTACTGGAAGGAGAAGTTGTCAACGAACAAGAATTGAAGTACTGGAAGGCTGTGAAGGAAAACCCCGCGGATTTTACAAGTTGGACGTATCTCTTGCAGTTTGTCGAACAAGAGGTATGTAATAAACCTAACCTATCCGTTGTTCGTTAAACACTTTCACGTGGAAGTCTTTGTCAGCTGAACTTCATTTGCTCTGAATGTTATCATTAAAGTTGGTCGATGATTCTCTTTGTTTAGGGTAATTCTAGCCTTTACTTGGAAAAAACCATGCAAGTCATCGTTTGTAGAACCCACAGTTTGAGGAGGTTTATATTTCTTGTTGCTTTTTCAGCCTGCACTTTGCTTTCACAACCTTTTTGAATTTGGTGTGCGCTAATTTAGTCTTTCTCTGTGTATACTTTCCTTGTATGTAGAACAAACTGTCATCTGCTAGGCAAGCATTCGACGCCTTTTTTAAACGTTACCCTTATTGTTATGGGTACTGGAAGAAATATGCTGACCTGGAAAGGAAAAATGGAAACAATGACAGAGCTAGAGAGGTATGTGTTGGTGGTGTACTAAAACCAAGTTGAATTTGCTCTACTGAGTTGGAAATTTAACTACTGATAGTTACAGCAAACAAATGTGTTGAAAGGATTTACTTCTGCAAGTCAACATACAAGTCTGAACAGTCCATTTGACTTGATATGTATTAGCGTTGATTCTCACCAGGACATTACAATACCAGTAATAACCAAATTTACACACGAAACCCTCCAAAATCAAGTAACTTAAATAGACTTAATTTTTTTTTGTTTGCTTCAGGTATTTGAGGGTGCTATTTCAGCCATTCCTCTCAGTGTGGATTTGTGGGTACATTACCTCAACTTTGTTTCTCAAAGTACCAAAGGTCAGATTGATGGTCCAGAGGTCATGCGCAGGTAACTTTCATTAATGAACCTGAATACTGACATTGCTATCTGTTCTCCAGGAAAACTGATCAGCAAAGGCTTGAGGAGAGCATTAACCTTTCCACTGGGGATAATCTGACCACTGTTGATGAGTGTGTTTAAAACTTTGAGAGTTCTGTTTTTGAATTTCTGATTTGTTCAATTTTTGGCAGTTCATCTAATCCCGATGATTTGTTGTGCCATGTATTTCTTATTAGTAACAGTTAGGTTGGTGTTGATAAACAGTTTTGAGTGGGCATCGCAACCCACGCCAGCCTCTTCCGGGTCAATTGGTATTGGGTTCTTTACTGATGGACAAGGTATTTTAATGCTTCAATCCATTCAGTCCTGATTTAAGTCCATTTTGCATCAAGTAGTCAGTTTATGCCTTTTTGTTAGACTTATCTTTTACTAAGTTATTTTTTGCTTCTCTCTTTGGTTTCTTTTTTGCAGTTTATTTGAAAGAGCAGTGTCATCGGCTGGAGAAGAGTTCCGTGCAGACAAACTTTGGGATGCTTACATTGACTGGGAGAAAAATCAAGGCCAACTGCAAAGAGTAACAGCTTTATATGACAGAGTCTTTTATGTTCCTACCCAGAATTACAGCCAGAACTTTGAAAAGTAAGCATTTTGGTAATTTTGAAAAAATACAATGTACATGTGCTGCTGAGTTGTCAAAGAGTATACCAAGCTGAACTGCATGGTATTTTAAATCCACTATACTTAAGTCAGAACTATTAGATGTTCACATCTACCAAGTTTGGCTGTGGTCAGTATGGTTGTATCAAACTAATTTTAAATTTTCCCGGCTTATAGCCAAGGAGATGCAAGGCATTTTGGAGAAAATTGCAAAGCAGATTGAGAGAGTGAAAACATTAAGAAAATCAATTTGCTCTAATTTTTATCCTTTTCTTCAGGTTTAAACAACACATAAACTCCAACCCTATTGCTGCGGTATTGTGCACCGAGGAACTTCTTAAGCTGAGGGCAGAGGTTGCAGCTGCTCCCCCTGGCCTGTCATCAGCCGAGGTGGAACCTCTTATAAGTGTAACCTCTTCCTCGGCTAATCCACCAGGTATAGGAAGTGTATATGGAGTCTGCATAATTGGTTATGTCTACTTTTATTGTATGATGCTCCTCAATACTTGTGTTGTATAAAGCCCTTCAATTTTGTCAGTGCTTTCAGATTTGCCATCTTGGTGAAGTGCTTGCTGACATTAGAATTCATGAGGAATGAGACATTAGAATGTGTTCAGTTTTTGCTTTCATGATAAATGATTTTCAAACTACATTAAATGTTCCAAAAGTCCCAAGCATTCTCAGAATAGTTTATTTGTATTTGGTCTCTGAAGGTGTTGATGGAGATGCTGATGCTGATGAAGTAGCTCCTGGAACTGAAAACCTTACCATTCCTGGAGCTGAAAGCTCTGTCACTTCCCAGGTATTAGTTTCTTTCAACTTCCAAATAATGTGCATTACGAAGGCATTACTTTAGATTGGTTGGTAAATGTAGAAATGATAGTAACAACTGCAGTTATAAAAAGCTGTCAAGAGGATAGAAGGTTTAGTTGGGCTTGTTTTGAATGTGAGGCTTAAAATGTGAGGTAGCTTGTTTTTATTTCATTTGTGAATGTTTGTTTTACACATCCTTTTCCCTCAGGATGATGCTGAAACTATTGCAATCAGAGAAAAAGTAATTGCAGCAAGACAAAAAGTATTTACTGCATTAGGAGAAGAAGTGAGAAAGCGCTGGACATTTGAGGAGGCCATAAAGAGACCATATTTCCATGTCAAACCACTTGAACGTGTCCAGCTAAAGAACTGGAGAGAATATCTGGATTTTGAAATTGGCAATGGTGATCATAGAAGGGTTGTGATTCTCTTTGAACGTTGTGTAATTGCATGTGCATTGTATGAGGACTTTTGGCAAAGATTTGCTAGTTACATGGAAGCACATGATGTGGAAGCATGCCGCCATGTATATGAGAGAGCATGCACAATACACCTTCCAAGGAAACCTTCCATTCATTTAGCATGGGCTGCTTTTGAAGAACAGCAAGGTGAGTCCACTTTTTTCTTGTCAGGATGTCCAGTTAGAATTCTAGCAGGCCAATTTATATCTCATCTTGGTATGGCATGTGTATATTGAACCCTGAAGAAATAATTTAGTATAAGAATCTCATGGTGTGATCAAAACTGCTCAAGAAAGCTACAGATACTTGGAGTCCTATCTAATTTCAAGTCCAAAATTTTCAATCTTTTTTTCTTTGTGTGTGTTATATTGCATATGAATTGAGACATCTTTAACAGATCATTTTACCATCAATCTTTAAATCTACCTATTATGCATTATACAAGGTAGATTAAAAAGTGCCTCAATTAATTTTTTGGCAAAGTTATGATATTAGTCTCATATAGGCAAAGGGATGGTTGGTACTAATTTATCATCTTTTTTTTTAAGGAAATGCTGCCAAGGCATCAGAGATTTTGGCTGAGTTAGACAAGGGTGTTCCTGGTATAATAATAGTGAAGCTAAAGAGAGTAAACCTGGAAAGACGGAGGGGCAACTTTGAAGTTACTTGTACTCTCTATGAAGAGACCATGAATGAGACTAGTGACCAGGAGTTAGCAACATTTTTTGCTATTAGATACTCACGATTTTTAGCAAAGGTAAGAGAAGAATTCTGTGTTTGGCCAACTTGTGTTTAGAAGGGTTCTTTTTAACCCTCTAACCTCACAAAGAGTAATAACATGCAACTCTTTCTTGCAATGTTAAATGTTATTAGGATAGAAAAACTTTTCAGCTTTAGGGTTGTTATCTTGTTCCATAAGGAAATTCTGTTGAATGCTATAAATTGATTCTTATAGTATCTAGGCAGATTATGGGTTTAAAAATTTGAAACGTTTTTCTTAAGTTGTTCATCTTAACCCTTTAACCCTTTCACTCCCAAGATATCATTAGTAATTCTCCTTATTGTCTGCCATACAGTTCTTGTGAAGTTAGCATGGAGAATTTGGTATTGGATCAATTTATAATTCCCTAATTGATATTTTCTTTATTCTCATCACTTGTCTGCTTGATATTGTGATGATATTGTAAGGAGAAATTCTGTCTTGATCACTCCTGGGAGTTAAAGGGTTAAACCCTAAGAGTGACTAGCATCTTATTTCTCCATATAATGTGACCCCTCAATTATATATTAAGGTTATGAGGATGACTAAAGTCATACCCCACAAAAGAAGCTTTTGATCGGTTGACAATTTCTCCTTGTCAGCACCGTAGGAAATATGTAAAGAACAGTATGGAGAATATGCATAATGACTTTAGGGTGTAAAGGGTTAATGGTTGGCCTGTGATCAGTAGTTCAAAATCTAATGATAAATGCAAATTCAAAAAGGTTTACATCACCTACAGACCTTGACTTAATCTTGTATTATGCAATGTAGATGAGATATTTGGACTGAGTATTGTTGCTGGAATTGAGTTTCATACCCTCTTCAATTAGTGTTGCTTGTCTTTGTTCTTGTGTCTGCTCCCCTGAGTGTTCTCTTTTTTTTCCCATTAGGTCATGGGTAATGTGGAGAAAGCAAGAGAGGTCTTGAAAATTGCCCTTGAAAAAGATAAGGTATTTACAAACACTCTATGTATCATTTCAAGAAGGATGAAAAGAATGGATGAAAATCAATCTGTACCAGTTATTTATTCTCTTGACACTCTAATTTTTTGTCATATCATTGTTGGTGTGGCATTAAGGACACTTAAGACATTTCCACAATAGCATTACATAAAGTGCCTTTAATGAAGTCAAATCATTTATCTGTTGCACTTTTTTTTATATAACATTGAATTTTTTCCTCTCTAGGATAACAAGAGGTTGTATCTTCAGCTTTTGGATGTAGAGCTTTCTTCATTTCCATTGAAAGAAGAAAAGGTTCTAGAAGTCTTTGATTTGGTGAGAGACAGTGAGCTGAACACAGAAGTTAAACAAGGTTTCTCTCAAAGACAAGTTGAATTTCTTGAAGATTTCAGTGCTGACATTACCAAAATAATGGCTGCTCAGGAAAATCATGCTAGACTTTATAAAGGAAAATCTTCCTTGATCCCATTGACTGGCAGTAAAAGGTCACAAGAGGGAGATGGGTAAGAAGTAATTGCTTTAAAGAAATGCATTTCAAAAGTTTTCAAGTGAGATATCACAACAGAGAGATGTGAGAATTTCTTTAAAACAAGAACTGTCACTGAAATGTGATAGTACAGGCTGCAAGATAATGAGAGCTAACTTAATGGTGGAGGAGTGGGGCAACCTTTAGCTAGTGGATGCGTCAATTCCATGACAATTCACTCGTTCCCTGTTGCCAACAGAAAATGCACTATGCAAAATTTCATTTCTTTGTTGTTACTTGCAAGGGAATCCTATGCTATCTGCGATAAGTATCTTCTTAATGGTAAAAAAATTGTCAAAAGTGAAATTCTATTGTATTCCTTAATGTTGTGTATATTACTTTATTCAGCATAAACTGTGGTGCACTTCAGAATTTTGTTAAAAGGTCTTTTATCCTTTCTAGTAGTTCAGACATCAAATCCAAAGTATCAAAAACAGAAGATGGAATAGTGGATAGTAGTCAACATGCTACCAGCACTGCACTGACAGGAGCAGAAACATACGATGCATCATATCCATCAGCAGCAGCCTACTCTGCTGCGGCATCTGCTTATAACTATTCCACACCCTTACAGAGCCAGTGGGCAGCCTACTCAGCTGCACAGCCGGTAGGTTGTCAATAAGTTGGAGGTGAACTGGTGGCAACTTTGCTAGTGAACTGTCTGATCTATGATTGTTTGCTCGTTCCCTGTTGCCAATAGCACATGCAATTGTACCATTCTGTTTTGAGGAAATCTGTTCTTGTTATGGGCAGATATGAAGCAGATGTACTGACAGTTGATCTTGCATCAAATATTTTGTTTTGTTATTCTTTTGGTAATGCATTTCACAAGACAATTTAATTTGATTTTAAAACAGGTAGCATCAATTCACGGACGGCCACTTATCAAATCCTGGCCGAAAGCCTGTGTCCTTTTCTTCATGGTTTTCACATCTTTGCAAAAGCTCTTTACTTCCTAAATCTTTGCTGCCCTCAGGAACTTGTATGGTTACACTGAGCTTAGGAAAAAAAAACTTTAATGATTTAAGGGCGAATTTAAAACATTGTTTCTCTATCTTTCAGAATGCATACAGCTATAGTCAGTGGTATCAGCAGTATGGGGCTGCATATGGACATGCTCACCAAACTGCCACACAGTAGTGTTTTTACTTTGTTTTATACACAGACCTAAGTCAAAAATGATGCATGTACATAGTTAATGACAGACATAGTGCTCTGCGTTGTCTCACATGAGGACTTTTACTTCTTGATAAATAATGTAAAGTGCATGTCAGATGAGCAATTAAAAGGTACTGTTTGTCATAAAGCAGCTTATTGTGTAGGGCTCCTTGACGACCATCTGCCGCTGTTGTCAAATTAAGCCATGTGAACTTGTGAAATGTTGAAAATTTAGTGCTGGTAGTTTTTCCTTAGTTATGTGTTCCAGTGCCTTTTCAATTATTTAAAAAACTCCAACAAAATTAATGTACTACAAATAGACAGCCACTGATGCATGGTAGCATTTTTATCATGGTTACCCTGAGGATAAGCCAAAAAATATAAACATAAGATTTCCTTGTAACATACATTGTTTGAAATAAAAGTATCTTCTGTCAAAGAAACTGTATGATTTATTTTAAGCATTCAGAACTTAAAAAAGTCAAAAATTGCAAATTTTTTTGGAAGGCTTTCATGGTTTAAGATGCTAAACAATCCCCTATAAATATATCAAGAAGAATTTTTTGCAGTGCAGGTGAAGAAAAAGAGACTTGACACTGGGAGATTCAGGAAGATAGAGACAGAGGTTGAAGGTCTCGATGTCACGTGTTGTGAAACTAGGTGCATAAAATGTTAAATGTCATTAAAGGAAACCGCAACAATTTATTGCATAGACTTTAAATTTTTTTCATGATACACTTTTCACAGAATTTTTTTTACCTCTAAAGAGAGTGTTTGGAACCCCAGTACTGTGGGTTAAATCATTAACTCAACTAAAGGAGATAATGACAAGCCATTGTTTAAGATAGTTTTACATGCACAGGAATCCTTTACATTAAAAAACGAAAAGAAAATTCATTCTAGCTATTATATTTAGTTTAGTTGGCAAGGGTGCCCACTAGTTGCAACTCTTATTTTGACAATATCAATTGCTTCACTCTGTGTCTCACTTTGTACAAAATGTCGCTGAGGTGTTTTCACTGGCTACAGAAATCCCAGTGAGGCTTGCACACTTGTCAAAAGAACTGGCAACTGGCTTCATCTCTGGGGAATAAAAGCCACTTCATGCAAAGGTTTGGAAAAAATGACAAATGCACGCACCATTGTTTGCTAGGCCCTTTCTGTGTGCTGTGTATCATATTGACTCTGATTACCAGAAGTTATAAACATGAAACTTCTCCCTGTAATATCCCATGTTATTCAGCAAACAGGTAATGAGAATATCCTAACTTATCAGGTGGAAGCTGCTATCTTGACCTAGCACCCAGTTCCCATAACTAATTTATAAGGAAATGTGTAGCAGCTGGAGGAGAGAATTAACAATCAGATCTTGGGAGTAAAGGGTTAACAACTCTATCAATGACTACATTTTAACTGTAGTATACTGTTACAGTAATTTTTACAAGAAAAACAAAAAAAAACAACTACACTTTATGTACATGTGCACCTCCCACTTATCAGGAGTGACAATGGACACAGACATAACTACTAAATACAATTTAAAGTTAATTCTGATCTACTATTAACTGTCGATATCAAAATCAAGGATTCTCTTTGATGCTACAAGATTGCCAAAAGTTTAGTGATCTTCCGCACCATTCACATCTTCACTGGCCTGTTTCCAAATCATGTGAACATAATATGCTGGGCATTCAACTTGTCCAAGAGGTTCAAAGTCGCCAAACACTTCATGTCTTGTGGCTTCACCAAAGACGCTTTTCAGGAGGTTGGTAAATGTGCTCAGGCGCAGGGGGCAGTAGGAAAGACGGAACTTGCTGTAGTTACAGAATAGAAAAAATGAAAATTGAGTGTGATGAAAACTGAAGGACAAGAATGGAAATCCCAAATCTATTTGGTGTGATTAGAAAAAGACCTCTAATTCTGCCATATTTAAATAAAATGTTATGTTGGAAATATCCCAGTTCACTTTTGCGAATCATACTTGAATGAGAGATTGAAAAAGAATGAGAATTCACTATGACAGAAGCCTGAAAAGGATTTAGCAAATAAATGCCAGAACTTGAATTTTGTGGTCCCTGAGTGTGGGGTTTTATTATATAGAAAATCTAGGACATATATTGGATAAGTGTAACAGTCTGGCTGTTTCATATTGGACCAAGGCATTATGAAACCATACTGAAGATAACAAATGATTAGTTGGGCATGTAAGACCTGTATTGCCTTGCCAACAAAGTCAGTGGGGTGATAAATAAGTAATAGATCCCTACAACTTTATCACCACTGTATTTCCACTTTAACATCAAATGACTTGAAATCAACTGTGTGTGAAGATACCTGATGTCTCCTTCAGTTGATTTCCTTTTCTTCACTGCTGGTTCTTCTCCCTCTTCTGTAAAATCATCTGAAGCCTTTGAAGGGTCAACAGTGTAGTCCAATGTTATCATACTCTCTTTGCCATCCACAAATAGGACTGAAGTCTTGATACTCTCAATACAGTCACTCTGTCAATAAAATTAAAGTAGTTAGGTTTGAGCTTGAGTTAAGTTTAACACATAAATACTTTCAACTGCCTGGAATGATCTGTATTAGAATTCTCTCCACAATAGCTCTTGTGTGTGAGGATGTCACTTCCTGAAAATTAACCCCAGAGCCTCATTTGCACTAAAATCTACACTAAAATTACCACTTTTTTATATCTTTACATGAGAGTTAAAATTTACCACTCCACACCTTGAAAGGAAGGCTTGGGGCTGTAATTTGGTTGTGCACCATAAATATCCATAAAGCCTATCTTAATACACTCTCAAACAAAATTATGCACTTAGAGGATAAAATAAATGGATAAATTACCAAATTCCTGAGTAACCAAAAGGGAAACAAATTATATTTGTTATCAGGTGGGGAGAATTACCTGTGACATCTTCTTGTTATTAGAGCTGTGAGGCTTAGGGTTTGAGAAAGCTTCAACAAATGCTCAATATATGATGGTTAAATAGACTTCATTGGCTCAAATTATCTGAGTTAAAGGTGTGACCTTATTGGCTGGAAATGCTAAATAATGAGAAAAAAAAACTACTGTACATTTTGAATTTAGTAACTTACATTGTAATACAAGTTTCGCTGAGGGGCTTTGCCTGTATCAAGAATAGCATCATAATTGCGGTGGTCGATGAACAAGACCCCGCCTGGCTTTAACATATCTTGGAAGTTTTGAATTGCCAGCTTCTGATTGGTTAAGTCTCCTTGGAAGTCTGGCAAGTGAGCGAATGAATTGCCAAGACAGATGACTGCATCAAAACCTTGTGGAGGGACATCAATGTTGGCATCTTTTAAAGAAAGCCAGTTGCCTTCTTCAATTTCTGAAATTAAATGACAAGAAATTTTAAATAATTTAAGAGACCATTGGTGCACAAATGCTTGTGTACCATTTTGGTCACTGATTATTCCTTACCCCACTCATCAAAGGCTTCTTCCTTTCGACGCTGCCACCGTATCTTCCATGCTTGTTTCAACATTTTATCACTGGCATCTGTGCTTGTCACTTTAAAGTTGTTTTCAAGCAGCATAATGGAGTCCACTCTAAGAAAAATAAAGATGCTCTGGTGCATTACTTCATGCAACAAGAAAAAATAACAATGTACCCATGGACTTCTCAATGCACATGAACAAACATTTATCGCCCTAGTAAGAGTGATAACCTAATTTCCAGCTACTGATCCTTGGTAATGGATGTGTTTACAAAGATCACAAAGAACATGCTAAGTAAGAATTCCAATAGCTTTTCCTTCAGATACCCTTCACACAATTATAAGGTACTTGATAAAGTGACTGTCAGCTCAGAAATTAATTTTCACTTCTCATCTAAGTATCTGATTGCCAGCAATGTTACTTGCTTGTTACTTTTACAATCCTAGCAAAGGCCTCAAGGGATTTGTGGTGTCTCTCTCACTTCTTCTCCAACACACACAAACAGGAAGTAAATTTTCATTGTAGTGCATAGGCACAGCAGTGGTCAGATTAACTAGAGTAACATTACCTCAACACTGCGGAATCCTTCCTTTTTTATCAAGCTCTACAGCTAGAAAGGTGAAGGAAGGGCAACCTTTTTCTGACAAATGACAACTGCATGCATCCTGCAGTTCCCTGAGTTTTTAGTAGCATGACCTCAAGTGTGTGCGGAGTGTCTTATCTGTAAATAAACATTAGGACCAACAGAAGACTTAAAAAAGAGTTTGAGTAGTAAGCAAAATTTAGTGAGATAAATTTGAAAGCGGTGCAACCTCTGGTAACAAAGATGATGCTATTCAGTTATTTAACCCCCCAAGAGTTACCAGCATCTAATTTCTTTTATCACCTCTGAATCACACCTTAAATTCACGAGAATAAAGGAAATGATCACCAATAAACTATGGCTTTTGATTGTTTAACAAATTCTCTTAGCACTTTAGGAAATGTATAGAGAACAGTACGGAGAATATGAATATGCATACTGATCTTAGGGTGTAAAATTTACGCTAACGTCTCCATGAGTGATTACGTGGACAAAGAAAGAGCACAGTAAACTTCAGCTGTGGAAAGAGGGAATACGATCTTTGAGAATCAGCTTAGCTTATGATTGCCTCGTAGATATGTACGTCAAAACAAAGAGTTTAGTCACGTCCCAACCATTCCCAAACAAGAAAAAAACCTGACAATATCTTGGCGAACCGGCTTCCTAACGAGATTGACGTGTCATATGATAATGAAATCCTCAAGGCACAATAATAATCCACGAAGTAGGTTTCGAAGACAGAGTCAAATAATGCGCAAACGTTTCACCAAAGCAGATCACTTTGTGTACTATTTGCTGATTTATAAAAGTCAATAAAAATGTAAAAATGTGCATCTTCAAGAGCACACAATTATCAAAGACAACTTTTTTTTAGATGAGTTTCGATTTCGTGACGTGTTCATTGTCAAATTTCAGCAATAAATTGAGGGTCGTTTTCTCACCCTGTTCCACAAGCGACATCGAGAATGTGTTTTACACCGTTGTCATTCAAAAGATTGCAGAAGAATTCTCTATATGACTCTGTTCGTTTCTTGTGTCCACCGATGTAGTGCTGCCAGACTTTTGCGGCTTTTCCATCTGCGTACTGATCTGGAATGCCAGAGACACCGATTCCCAAGGAACGTGTACGGTAAACGCTATCAACCATGGTGATTTACGTGTGCTTTAGGATCTGTACCGCTGTAACCTTTTCACCGCTTCGTAGTATTGATGAAAGGGATCGCAAGGTTTGAGATTTTTACTCCAAAACAACCTTAACTCGTGATAGTAAATATGCTGTAAAGCAGCATGACTGGAAAGACTTGTTTTGATTTCCTAATATGGTGTGCTCTTTGTTTCGAATACGCTTATTATGGAGTTTATTACCAAATATGGTTGAAGAGTGGGGGTGTGTGCCTTGTTAAAAAAACGCGCGAGATTCCAGTTTTGCGGAAATGATTTTCCCTCGAGGCCCTCAACACAGCCTAATCAAAGAAAAGAAAATGTATTTCTTGTTTTATATTCTTGATAGATAAACAATAGAAAAGTAAAAACTACTTTTAAAAGAGACGTGGACTTCGTATCAGTCAGGAGCTTAATTGAGATGCCATCCTTAACCCAATGTCTCGTGCATTTCAGGCTATTTTTAGCACACACTTCGCCATCCTCACGCAACGAAAATGTGCGTTACAAGCACTGTCGATATCAGTAATATTCTCGCCAATGATAATGTACATAAAAGAATTACGCGCTTCTGAATGGCTGGAAGTGAGTGCATTTTTCATGTATCACGAGTGCAAAGTTGTAAAACAAGTGCAACTTACAAATGGCGCGCGCTGTCAAAATTTCGTCGGTTTTGACTTTCTGTGATGCTTCTTCATGTAAATTATTGATAAGTAATAACACGATTTCGCGTGCAATTTGGTGTAAACAAGGACTTGTAAAATTTTAAAAGACTACAAATTGCACTCGCCCTATAGCTTCGTGCAATTTTGTTGTATTCGAAAAATTTACTCGTGCTTATTAACACCAAATTGCACTCATATTAGTACCTATACTAATTACATCTGGATTAAGTGTGAGGTTTACTTTTTAATATTTCCGTCGTTTCCTGATAATATCGAGTATGTTGTAAACCAAGCCAGGCCTGTTTACATTGAGCTGGGGGACCCAAAAATCTTAGAAACGACCATTTGAACCACTGATGTTTTCATGCAAAAGGTAAAGCAGCTAAAGTAAGTCCTCATTGGTGTTGTGTTCTTCGCATTGCAATGACATACGCGTGATCACCTAATCGGCGTTCAAAATACTCCAGAGCGTAATTGTTTTCAGAGTATGAAGGTTTCGTTGAGCGTGATCGTGATAGAACAGCAAGGGGATTGAACTTTGCGAAAATTCCTCAAAATCGTTAATCATTTCCCCCGTCATTCTCTCGACTTGACATGTTAGTATTGCCGCTGAACGAATTGATAGCGAGCACAACAGCCGTAAAAAGTTTTGAAACGCACTGAAGTATCACCGCTGACCAAAATTGATAGCGGACACAATAACTGTCTATCTTTGTAAGCAGTGACCTACATATAATTCCGCAATGCCCTAGATATAGGTGAATGCTAAAGGGCATAAATATTTGCCGTATGCTCTAAATATATTTGTAATTGGATGAATGTATTTGTGATTAGCCCCAAATATATGAAACAATGCCAGGACAATGCCATATATTTATTTATCATAGCCATAAATATTTCATTTACCGTAAATACTTGTTGCTATAAAATATTGTCCTATATGGCACTCCATACGCGACAGCAACCTCGAGAAACTTCACCCGGAATCCCGAGATTGTAAGATGGCAAGTAAACGCGGGCTTTTCTTCGACCACGGCAAGGTGGGTTACTTCACCCTCCTTCATCTGCGTGTAAACAGGCCCTTAATATTTGTGCTGTGTAACACGTTTCTGAGACACCAAATAACTCATTGCAAAAGGTCTACAAAAATCAGGTACTAATAAAAAAAACTTCCTCGCTCGCTGGCTACCAAAATCCGAAAACATACCCGAGACGCTTTTACACGCGGTAAACTAGTTTGCATAAGGAAAGGCTACTAAGAACCGTGCAGGTGTGTCGCGCCAAAGCATTGTCAATATGAATTCATTTGAAGAGGCATCAGCCATGCAGAGTACAAATGAATGCATTCTTCCTTGTAGACTAGTAGACTTGCGATTCGATCCAGAATCGCTTGAAATTTCTAAACAACGTCTCAAGAAGTCTGAGAAAATTTTTCAGTGGAAATTTTGTGAAAATTGTTCGGCTGCCGGAGAGAATATTCAAGAGAATATTCTCCGGAAGTTTCTTATGCTAATTTTCTCCTATTTGGTTTTTCGTTTTTTGAATTTGATCTTTGCTTCCGGAATGACAATCAACTGCTCCATTTATTGTGAACAAAGCTCTTCGTGTGATGATGATAACAAATGTTTGGTACTTTTGAGCTTAGAAAGGTTCTTCTTTAACTTTTCGATTTCGAAATGGGAAGGAATGAACTATCGTTACGAGCTACCTCGCCTGCAGTTTCTTTTTTCTGCGTGGGTAGGTACAGAACGCTGGCCATAAAGATCAACGCTCAAAGAACCACCCTTTTCGCTAACACCACGTTTCAATATGGATTATCTCAACAGTAAAAAATGTGATAGAGCTTTCCCGAAGGCGGGCTTCTTCCTTCCCAAGTTTCTAACACTTTTAGTTATCGTCGTCTATGGATTCTTTGTTGTAGGTAAGTTCCCGTATACTTTTCATGAAGAATTTTTGTTGTATTCCGTCTTCAAGGTCATTAAAAGTGACCAAAATGTAATATAAAAGAGTCGGAGTATCGTTTTCTACATGAGGGTGGACAGCGAGAGACTTTGGCATATCGAAAATGGTTTTAACCTACCCATGAGAATATCTGAGATAATACATCGAGTGTATTTAAGATAATGTATTTTTCTTTTCAAGATGGCTGTGGTGTTCGCACGCGTTCTCGTATAGTCGGAGGCTACAAAGCTGCCCCTCATTCTTGGCCTTGGCAGGTCATGCTCATGTATCCTGATCCCGGCTGCGGAGGGACGTTATTGAGTGAATTTTGGGTCATCACCGCAAACCACTGTTTGCCGGACTATTTGATGAAAGAAGATGTTATAGTTAGGTAAGAAAGGTTTCATGTCGAATGCTGTAACAAGTGATTTTTTAACATTCGTTTCATGCAATATTTTCCTTCTGTCATAAAAAACTCTTATTCTTTAAATGTAAACGAAAGGACATGTAGTGTCTTGCAAACGTAACGAAACTTTGAAGTTGAGAACTGTATACCATAAAAGGATTCATGGTTGCCTCATCAACAATACGCTGAAATGCATACGTTATCGTTTACAACCGTTAAGGTTTTCGCAATCGAAATCATTAACATTTTTTACTTTTCCCTTTCATGCACTAAAACGATAAAGGAAAGCGATGATGTTTTCTTGGTGGAGGTTGATATTAAACTTAGTGGAAAAAATTAAAAAATATACAGTATATATTTACCACAATTATTTGTCAATTAGGGTCGGTGCACACCACCGAACCAAGCCGAATAAGTGGGTGCAAGACTTACGAGTGCGACAGATTTATCGACACCCGAAGTACAACGATCCCGTTATGTGGGCAAATGATGTGGCCTTGCTCCTGCTAGACCGACCAGCCCAATTGAACGGCGCAGTCCGCCCAATTTGCTTGCCTGACAAGGATGACCAACCGGGTACAGATTGCACGGTGACCGGTTGGGGTCGCCTGAGTAATTATGGTTCTGATCCAGACTACCTTATGCAGGTAAACGCACCATTCGAGGTTTAACATGTATTACTTTTAAAATGAATTAAAAAGTTTAGAAATAAAAGCAGATTTTCAAATGCAATACAACTTCTCTCTTCGGGCAAGCCGAAAGCCTGACAACTGTTCATTTTAAACTGTAATCACAATGATGTCGAAAAACAGTCTTGCAAGACTGAAGTATCGCAAATTTTTAGCCGCGTTTTGTGAGACGTTAACCTAAAGGTGCGAGTTTTCTTTTCTTCCTTTTGTTATCTTTTTGTCAGGTGACCGTTCCAATCGTGCCCTATTCTACCTGCCGAAAGATCTATCCAGAAGAGGTCCACGAAAGTATGCTGTGTGGAGGACATCTAACAGACAGAAAAGATTCTTGTGAGGGCGATAGCGGAGGACCATATGTTTGCGAGCACCAAAACGGCATTTGGAAACTAGAAGGAGTCGTCAGCTGGGGTTACGAATGTGGATGGGAGGGCCACCTAGGAGTCTATGCCAATGTCTCTCACGTACGTGACTGGATAAAAAGTGTATCACGTTTATGATACCACCGGTGAAAAGCTATTGTGATTGAATTTATGGATTTTTGACTGATTGACTGTCATTGACAATAAATCTCTCCCGTTCACCTAATATTGGAATAAAGTTAAAGATGTTTACACTTATTTGAAATGCAGCTTGTAAGTGGGACAGTAATTGTTATATAGATATTGATGTGATGACAGAATTTGGCTCGGTATTTGGTATTAGATATTTGCTCATTTGGACAATTTGTAGAGAAAATTTAAAAGTGTGTCATGAAGTTAGTAGATAGTTTGAGCTTTTACTAAGGTTTTTCTCCACTAGCGGGTTAAATATTCACATTAAAATAAGGTTAACCTTTGTGTGTAGTTATCCTTGGTTCAAGATTCGTTAGTAGATAATTTGTTTTGCCCAGGTGGTTCTCAATTTCCCTCCCATCATCAGCAGATTGAGTCCTACATTCTTCTTGAATCCGAGAGCCGCTCCCGTCCACAATTCAAACTTACTAAGGCTAAAAGGCTTACTGAAGTTCAGAACACAGCAAGTTATTGGGTCAAATATTTGTTGGTTAAGCCTTGGAAATCTAGTATATCGAGTGTGTGAGGTAAACTAGCTAAAAAGAAAAAAAAAATCCAAGCCCAAAACTTCATTATAAAATCCCTTCATGCTTCAGAATGGTAGTAACTAAGCGTCGATCAATTCAAGCTTCATCTTCTTTCTCCCCCCCTCCAAGGCAGTCCACGGATAATTGAAGTTTTGAAGATCGGTTCGTTCAAAACTCCCCTGGGCTAACATTGCATTCAAATGCCTTAAAATGGTATGGTTGCTGAAGCATACTTTTCCTTTAAAAACAAACTCTCTCGATCTTTAGTGGGATCTGGAAATTTAATTACATCGTTCATGATTTGGCAACGCTTCTGGCTGACTACTATGCTATGACTGATAAAAATATGATTAATCCTTTAACTCCCGGAGGTGATCAACATGAAACTTCTCCCTGTAGTATCCTTATATTATCCAGCAAACAGGTAATGAGAAAATTCCAACATATCAGGTAGAAGGTGTTATCTTGATCTAACACCAAATTCTGGTCATTAATTTACAAGGAAACGCGTAGCAGCGAGAGGGGAGAATTAACAATCAGACCTTGGGAGTTAAAGGGAAATGTTAACTACAGATGTAAATCCCCTGTTAAGTCTGCCGAGCATGACTCTCGTAATAGCCGTGGTTACACACACCTTTGGTTTGGGGCCTTGCGAAGGGTAAATGGCTTGGGTTTGGTTAAGCTCAGGTTTCATGTTACCCTTGGGGATGCGGTTACACTGTAAAAGACTCCCTCAGGGTCAAATATAATTAGATCTGAGTTCACTGACCTGACAAATTGGCAGGAAAAGTACAGAGCAACGTGGATGTTACGAATCGAGATCTATTAAGCTAAATTTCAGTGATTCTCCTGCCTATTATACGACAGTCCACCATAAATACAACAGTCCAGCAGTTTTTTGCGAGACTTATGTCTGCTAAAGTCGTCAGCCTAATGTGATGTTGACATTTTGATGCAATGATTTTACAGGCATCAATTCACGCGTCATACTCCAAAGTGTTAGCAGACTTTTGAATTAAAGCCACGAATCTGCAGGAGATGACGAGTTAAATTATGAAGTAACCCAAAGATAAAGTCTGTCGAATTGCACAATAATTTTAAATCATGAACGAAAATGGTTTAGTCTTATAAAATCTTTCAAATACCAAACGATAAGATAAAGGAAGCAAGAGTACGTTTCTCTTAAGTTATCTGCCATAAGAAGGTAATTATTGTTGAACGACTCCGCCTTTCACAACGAGAAGCTCAGCCATTCTTCCCCCGGAAATCTGTGACCCTGATCTCTAATGAATGTTGCCAAAATGTTAAGCACATCTTGAAAATATCTGAAACCCTTCAAACCAAAGGCTGCAAGTTGAAGCAGAGTTCCTAATCTAATCAGAGATGGCAGGCTTCAACAGTCAAACCCTTATTTGATCGTCATCCATCTCTTGGCGTTATTAGGCTCGTTTTGTGCCCCTGCAGAAATAGTTTGGCTAGTTCCTTAGTCACCGGAAGTGTTTTCATCGGCCCACTTCCGGCGATTTTTAAAAGACCCTGGAGCAGCATAAATGAATCCATTTTCATGAAGTGAGCCACTTCAATACAAATAGCTCGACTGACCATAGCCTTTCCGCGTCCTTCCTCTCTTCGAAGTCGCCTCCAGCGGTGAAAACATTTGCTGAAATTGATGCGTAAGATTGCAGAACTGGTTTTCATATGAAATTTTGAAATAGCAAATTAGCAGCACCATTTTCTTAACGTGTCCTTCACTGCTTGTCTCACCTCAGCGATCTTCCAGCAATAAAGAATGGGATTCAGTGCTGAATTCAAGTAGATTAAAATGATTCCACATTGAGCAGCGAGAAAAACTGATGGGGTGAGATCTTTCAGATTGTATATAATATCGGTAATTTCATATGGTAGATAGCAAGTTATTAAAGCCAACTGCAGCCACAACGCACTAGCGACTGCCCTTTTATATCGCGTGACGTTCAGTTGACTTGTTTCCGCATTTGTCTGTATACGCGGTTGAGTTTGATGTTGGCGGAGTTTCCAGAAGATGATTGAGTAGGAAAATGATGAGATAGCTAAACACAGTGATATTCCAATGTAGCCATACCATGTTGTGATAAGGTCGTTCCAAAGTGAGATTACCGCAGCGAAAGTTGAAATTACCCAAATGACAGCTAAAATCAAGTATATTCGCTTTAAGGTTACAACCTGTCTGTATCGCAACCTTAATAACAAGGCGAGTAGTCGATCAACACTGATTGCAGTCAACGTCAGCAAAGACACAGAACCTAGAAGGTAACCCAGGATAAAACGCAACATTCTCGAGTATCGACAAATGGTCCAGTTTTTGACTACAATTGAGACCCAAAAGGCAACACAAACAGGCTGGGAGATTAGTCCGACGCAAAGATCAGTGGTGGCCAGACCACGAAGCAAGAGTTTGGACGGCGGATGAAGGGAAGACTCATGGTGTAGAGCAACAAGAATCAGCTTGTTCCCCAAGATGGTTACAATGGCGAGGAAAATATTTAAAACCAACAGAAATGTCAATTGCAGGTGTAAATTCCCCAGTGAACCTTCCGAACATGAAACTGTCAGATTTTGCTCACTCATTTCGTTTAGTTTGATGTGAACAATTTCCTTCTATTTTACCACAAGAGTTGAAATCTACAGGACTGCCGGTCGGTAATATTTAACAGTCGGTGCCTCAGAATCGGCTTATGTTTTGCAGATCGTTTTTCACCGGTATCCAGTAAGTTAAATGCAGATGTTCTTGCGAATACAAGAAAAGTGCCGCGGGCAAGTCAGTTGTAGGCAATAAATTAATAGGACTGTCAGTTATTTGACCGCAGGTAAACAGAAGGCCCCTGAAGGATCATTGAATCGCAGTATTCCCTTATATAGGCTTGAAAAAAAAGTGAACTGAAAGCAGCCCGCTGCATCTGTACAGAAATTCACTCGACTTCTGGTTAGCTAATTAGTGTAAACAGCTATAAAATTGCTCTTATTTCAGTACATTCCTTACGGCTAATTAATTTTATTTTCATATTTACACACGTAAACAACTACTGCCGAGTCACGTACGGCTAAATCGATTACATCAATTGCAAATAAAATCCTTGTTTTTCCAGCGCGAATTTATTACGTCTGTCCATATCGGTGACTATTTCGTATATTTTCGTTCGAACACCTTTTAAATGGCTGATGGCTATTGGAAGTTTAGATAGAAGTTTAAAGTTTGGAAGTTTACATCCGTTCATAGTATAGTTTCGAGAAGAATCTACATAAAATGTCTACTGTCATGTAATTCAGTTAAAACTACAAACCTCGTATTCAAATTAGCGCGAACTTGGCGATAGATAAACGTGCATGCTTTGCATAATCATTTGTAAAAAAAAACCAAGGGAAACAAAGGAAAAAAACTGAAAAAGGCTTTTAATCCGTGGATATCTCAGTCTCGTGGCAATTTGAATCCAGAAAATCGTATCACAGACCCATTAAACTAAAATTGTTCAACTGAAACAAAATACAAAACTCGGATTCAAATTAGCGCAAACTTGGCGATAGATAAACGTGCATGCTGTGCATAATTATTTGTAAAAAAAAAATAAAGGAAAAATAAAGGAAAAAAAACTCGCAAAAGGCTTTAAATCCGTGGATATCTCAGTGTAGCGGCAATTTGAATCCAGAAATCGTATCACAGACCCATTAAATTAAAATTGTTCGACTGAAACAAAATAGACATTTTGAAAGTAAACCTATCAGCTTGTTGACAGTTTCATTTTTGTTTGTTAGACGAACTAATTTAAAACAAAACGCCTCAAAGATTTCAATGCCATTTGAGTTGAAAACCAAGGTTCTTGTTTCCGTGCTTTAATTTTTGTTGTACCTGTTTAAAAAAGATAAGGGATTTTTCCATCTGCAGGTACCTCTGACTTGTCTTTAGTAACAGATGCATTGCAGGTGCACTTAATTTACACACTGATGAGACCAATTGTGCTATACTTTCTCTGTATATGGCTACTAAAATCATCTGTTTGACTTTCCAGTGCATTTTTTCTAGCGAAATGTTTTAATTTCGTTCTTTCTGTTTTTCGCTTGTATCAGCGAACTGGTATCGCTCCGGCAGATGTGAAAAAGTTCTTCTAATCCGTTGCAATAATAATTGGTGAGTACTGGGCCCAGAAAATAACACAATATATTTATTAAGACCAGTCCTTCCGAGGGCTTTGAATTAGTCTTCAAGATCAATTTCCTTTCCATGGCACAACCAAAATTTTGTTGAGATATACAAGGATGATGTAACCTCGACCCTATCAAACTTAGTGTTTCAGGAAGCGATGCAACTCGCCCTTTCAGAGGTACAAATTCAAATATGTCTCCTCTGAAACGTATAACTGTGCTTTAAAGGAAAAAAGCGTGTTGTGATTAAGCGAATTTGTGTTCACGCGATGTAGTTCAAATCATTTGGGTTGAACTCTATGACGCTATTGGTGTATGGCCTGGTCACTTAATTTTTTAAAAATTTTTTTTACAGAAGAAATTTATTTTCAAAAAAAAAAATTATTTCTTTTCTTTAGAATCTCAGCAAGCGGTTATTATGAGTTTCACCAAAATAATAATTTTTAAGTAACGGAAATTGACTGTTTTTTTCCCAGAGCGTTCTTTCCTTTGATGTGTTACTTTCTCAATGCTTTATTTTTGACTTAAGTTCTGATAATTACTAAGCAATGTTATTATTAATGAATATTGTTTTGATCAATTAAGATCCTCCATCCTGCTGATTTTCCATTTCTTAAAGCAAATCGATGGCGCCAACTCTTCATTATAGTCCAATTTTGAAGTTTTCAAGGGATGGCATTAATTTCATACTATAGGGATTCAAATGAAATATGCTTTACAGGTAAATTTCCGTTTGAAAGACGCAAATGGAAAGACATATGTTGCCGTTTACATCGTCCTTAATGAGAATCACCTTGACCATTATCATTGGTAAATTTTCTTCAAAATTAAACCATTACAATAGGTGCATAATGACCTTTTTTCATCTAATAGCCAAAACACAAACATAACCTTAAAATTATATGTTATTATTTTTTTCCTCTATCGATACCCAGGAGGTACGTTTATTATACAGCCGGCAGCGCCCGCAGGCAATGTGAAGCGAATCCTGTGTTCTGATGGGCTTGGGTTATTTTGCGACAAACACTGTTCGATTTCTTTCCCGGCTCTTGAAGTAAACAAGTCGTTCTTGATTTTTGTCGTATCGAAACATTGTTTGGCTGTATTAAAAATCCTTTATTGACCAAGCTTGTTCGGCAAGATGGTTGAATATTCGCCTCGTTCTTTTTTTGCGTTTTTGTTGACCTCAACATCGTCTCAATCCATAAAAACGTAAAAAATGAACTCGGCCATTATCTTGACCTCACACTTGGTCAATAACACATATACAAAAATGGTTCGTAGAGTGAAGAAATTATATGAGCCTATGATGAACAAAACCATTTCCTTAATATGTCGTTCACAGCTTCTCTTACTTCTCCAATCTTCCAGCAGTAAAGAATGGGATTTAATGTTGAATTTAGGTAAACTAAAATAAACGTGTGCTGAGCAGCGAGAAAGACTGATGGTGTAACATTGTTCGGATCATAAATAATATCTGTAATTTGAAATGGCAGATAGCAAGCTATTAATGCCAACTGCAGCCACAATGCACTCGAGACAGCCTTTTTGTATCGGGCAATATCAAGTGTACTCATCTGATTTGTCTGTACATGTAGTCGAGTTTGGTGTTGGCGGAGCCTCCAGAAAATCATTGAGTAGGAAAAAGTTGAGGTCGTTAAACTCAGTGATATACCAATGTAGCCATACCATGTTGTGATAAGGGCATTCCATCGTGAGATCATTGCAGCCACTGTAGATACTATCAAGATAAAAGCCAGAGTCACGGAAATTCGCCTACACGTTACAACTTGTCTGTATCGCAACCCAAGCATTAGGGCGAGAAGCCTTTCCACGCTAATTACTGTCAGCGTCAACAAAGAAACGGAACCCAATAAGTAACTAGCCATAAAAGTCAGAATACTGAATAATCGGCAAAAAGTCCAGTTTCTGACCACAATTGAGATCCAAAAAGCAACAGAGAGTGGCTGGGAGATAAGACCAACGGACAGATCAGTTGTAGCCAGACAACGAAGCAAGAGTTTGGATGGCGGATGAAGGGAAGACTCGTGATGTAGAGCAACAAGAATCAGCGTGTTCCCAAGAATGGCTGTAATGGCGAGGAAAATGTTCACAACCGATAGAAAAGTTAGGTGCCAACGTAAATCCCCTGTTAAATCTTCTGTGCACGAATCTTTCAATTTTCGCTCTGTGAACTCAGTATGGTTTGCGGTTGACATTATTGTGGTTTTCTTTCCCGGGAAATGATGGCGCAAGTCTTGTGTAGCTTGATTGGAGCAGCTCACCCAACTGATAAGTGGATGGAGTAATAAACACGTTGCCGTTTATCACAAATCATGAACGGTGAATAAAGGCGTATATGTCTGAAATCATGAGAAACGTAAACATTTTAGTCAATTGTGGCCATCTATGCAAAGTTTGCATGTCATTAGACAGGAAATAAAGACTCTCATAGTGGAGTGTATTCTCGATCAAAATCTACCGTCTGCGTGGGAACACAATTTGGCAGAAATAAAAGTCATTGTCGTACTTAATATATTCCACTAATCGTTAATTGTTAAAAGTAAAACAGCTGGATTTGCTTTCATCTGTGTGTTCTTGCGGTTTAAAACACACATTCGCAGTTTTATGTCAGGTCTTGTGATTATATCCAAGCAGTGAAACTTTTTCGTGACCAGATGGAGAACTTAGGGTCGATGGTTAGTTTCAATTAATTAAGGCGACATAGTAATTGTTTTCTCTGTATCTGGCCATAATTACATGTTATGCTTTGAAGACAAAATCGTATTTATGAGCAATGAGAAAGCTAGACTTTTTTAAATAAAGTAAACACGAGTCATTATTGCTTACAATTTTGTCAAAATATTTGTTTTGCTTTCCGCATGCAGGTATGACTACGAAATCAAACGGTAGCAACCGCGCTAGCTTTCGTGACTTGTTTATTGCTCAAGTACAGAATACCGATGATATTGAAGCCCTTCCAAATGCGGATGAATCTGATTGGTTCTTGATAACAAAGACAGCACGCATTTCAATACCGTTTACGTGCGAAGTGTTTAGCTTATTTCTTCCCTTCTTTGGTAAAATGTTTGTGAATGGCTCTTCTCAACTAAATGTTAGTTGCAATTGATCAATATTAGGATTAAGAGATACGCGTTCATTGAGAACATTTCTTTTCAAAACTATCGATCTTGATTATCAGTATATCAATCGATTTAGTAAAAAAACTTTGATGACACCTTTAAAAGCAAAAAGTTTCAGAATGCCTGATGAGGCAAGGAATTCCAAATTTTTGGTCCTTGAAAAACTACAAAAAAGTATTTAACACTGGTTCAAAATTGTTGATTTCGATAATCAGTGCCTCATCTAGTGTTATACGGGTGCATGAAGTTATTGGTAACAAATAGAAATCTTAGGAAATGATGGCAGAAGTAAGCGGTTGTGATAGGAAAACACGAACTACAACAAATGGAACTACAACCTTACCCTTAAGTTCCATAAAAGAATATTTCAAGCTGATGCCCTCTTCGCCAAACTAAATTTTGTTTACATAAGAAGATAATTTCACTTTCGCCTCATCGATTTAAGTTCCTATATTAAAAGCGTAGTCATTTATCTCGGAAATACGAATTTTTTTTATATATTTTAAGATATAGAACCGTTACGGTGCTTCACATTTATAAACTTGTTTACAAGAATCGATAATTAAACATACCGAAGAAAAATCATCTTGCTCAGTAATAATAAAAACTACTTGCTCGTCAAGAAATAATAACGGCGAACCGAGTGTAAAAGATTTAGTTATTAACCTGCTGAAGTCGTAAAGGAGAAGATCACGTATTATGCAAATCAATGGAAATCGCCTATGAATGACTCTCAGGTGTGTTTGACAACTCACGTGGAATTAGCTAATACGAATAGTTTATACCGTGATTGGAAAAAAATGGACACAAAAAACTATAGTTTCGGACAGGACAATAAATACGTATGTCAGAACACAAAAATGTGTCTTATGACTTAAAGTTCAGGTTATTATATTATGATGCAGCTGGAAATAATCGCTACAAACTCAAGATAAGTACATGCGTATTTGACTTATTTATTCATAATGTTTGCAGCTACTTTTCTGCTTGGGAAGCAAGTATGATTCAAAGGGTATTATTGATGTATTTAGGAATTACACTGGAACCTGTCTTTCGAAAAATTAAGTCTACCCAATAGCTATTTATGACACTTCTCCTACTATCGAGTGTTTTCCTTGCGTGGCATATTCGCTACGAGCAAATAATTCAATTAAAAAAGGTTCTTTTCGTTTACACCTTTCAGATACCCCTAAATACTCTTTAAAGTCTTTCATGACGTACCCTGGGGAAGGGGGGCAGGGGTGGAGGGGGGGTAGTTTCTCGCTCAGAGTTATACACACATCAGACAAAGCGCTCCTGTGGATATTGCACACTTTGCTCCGGGGTTTTATTCTACCCCTGGCTTAGTATTCGATGTATTTCATGAAATCATTTTTTTTATAAAATTCTTATTTCCTTGTTTCCCCCTCGACTCAGCACGCTGTGCCAGTTGGTACTCAGTACAGATTAGTTTTGTGCGGTGCTCCTCCATCCCCCGCCTCTGTTGTTGTTCTTTGATTTGTTCATGCGTGTTTTGTCTCACAAATATTGAATATGTGTGGGGATTTTTCCCAGTTCTAGAGTCAGAGGGCCTAATTTGAGTCTCAGAGAGTCTGGGAACTAGTTTTGTTTCTATGGAAGTCACACATGCGCACATCTAATTTTCTCTTCCGGCTACGTTCTGAAACCCAGATCACAATGGCGGCGGGTCAGAATATTCCAGAACTTGGAGGCTATGATTTTGAGTTTACAAGTGTTGTTCCCGATGATTTAGAATGCCCTGTGTGTCAGTTAACAATGAAAGATCCCATACAGATCGGAGGATGTGGCCACAGGTTTTGTAACATTTGCATGGAAAGCTTGTTGAGGTAAAGGCGTATCATTGTTTGTTGACGGAAACAAGTTACTACTGAAAACAATCAAGCTTACCTGAAGGTTGAATGACGATATTGACCGGTTGATTCTCTTCCCAAGGGTATCATAGTGTGCCTCGGCTATATATAAGTAACTGCTAGATAGCTTTGTTCGGCACAAAACAATTCAAACAGGTTAGAGTTTAGTGTGAGTACTTGTGAATGCGACGGAAAGCTATCAAATATTACATGAAATAGTTGTTGGCTGCCTTTTAGGTGTCTTCGATTGCTTCAGCACAAGTGCATCTAACAGAGTCATCGAATGATAAGATCTTTCTCGTTTACTTTTTTAAATATGAGTCGACTTAAGGCATTTTAACGCACAACTCGAAACGCAGTTTCCTTCAAATGGGTGGCCCCTATTGCAAAATGAAGCCAAAACAATGTCAGGCACAAGGGTAGAAAACATCGTTGCTCTTTCGTTTGTCACAAACGCAGAAATTTGTTTTAATTGACATAGGATCCTCACTCTTCGACGTTCATGTTCATGTAAATGTTTGTGTCTTGATAAAATAAGCCAGATTCTTCGAGGACAAACCCACTGAAAATTAAAGTTTATTTTGAAGCAATAGTCTGCATTTTCTATTGGTTTACCAGCTTAACAACTTGGGATGTTGAAAGAACACGAGGAAAGTTTGTAAATCGCGAGCTGGCGGAGGCAAGTGATTGACAAACGTTTCTCGGGTTCTCTCAACATCATGGGTGGGTTATTAAGACGGTAAGTCGATAGAAAGTGCGTTCCATCGCTTAATTATCTTCTACTCACCAATGCCTGTGATTGATCACGGTTCACTGAGAGATATGCTGGAAAAGGAGAATTGTCTTTAATTATTACAAGTAGAGTACAAAACATATCCTTGTGTCTGGGTTATCAGATATTTCCAGATGTCGCTTGTCATCGCAAAATTCTGGATCTCGAGGTGAAATGTTCTTATGTTGGGTGTCCTTGGACTGGAGAACTCCGAGCTGTGCAGGTAATGTATCTACGTCATATTCACCGTAAGGGCGTTCTCTATCACTTCATTCGCAGTTGATCCCAAAAATTAAAAATCTAAAACATTTTAATTTGTCTCCTTCATAATAAGCAAGCATTGCACTTATTCCTGCTACTCTTAACCATCGAGGCAGCAAGACATGATGTTATACGAAGCATATAAGGGTAACTTGTGGAGCTCAACTCAACAGTTTCTTGCACAGTAGTAACTATCTGGACTGAACAGCGGTGTTGTTCTGGTATTTGCAATCTGAGGCGTCATGGTCGGCAGTTTGCGTACAACATGACAGATTTTCTTCCTGTCTGGTAATCTTTGATAGGTGCCTATTATACTAAACGTTTATTTAATATTTATCACTAGTCTTAGGGATAGCATTATTATCAACAAGTCACACGTAAATTTCACATTTCTTTTCTAAGATCCTAAAGCGTCAGTTAACCGATTGTTTCGCTGTCAATCAAGTCTCTCTTTTCTTTAGCCTGTTGTATGTCTTAGCAGATTGGATCATGATTACATTGCGGTTTATTATCGATAAATTATGATTTCAGAAACATCAGTCAGAATGCCTGTTCAAAGTGGTGGAGTGTCCAAATGAAGGATGTAAAAAGAAGCTCACCAGGCGAGATATGAACAATCACATGATAACGGAATGTGTCCGGAGGGAAGTTAGTTGTGAATATTGTCGAGGATCATTTATCGTGGAAAACAAGCAGGTTTGTTAACAAAAACATATTCTTTATATAGCTTCTACAAAGGCAGTATCTCAAACTTTTGCTTTTTATCCAAAGTGGAAAAGTAGTGACGACTATCAATCTTTATTAAGTCAAGATTTTGTTGAGCTCTCGGTATCTTCTCTTATTCGATATAAAATTGTTACACAGAAATATCTTAGTAAAGTTGGGCTTTAATGTTGGGTTCGAGAACTTTGGTCCTTAACTGATAAGAAAGTGGGTATTTTACTCTATAAATTTCGTTAGTACAACAGCCTGTCTTTATTGGTCATAGTTTTCATAAGACGGAGAGAATTTTGAAATTTTAAAAAACTTCTTTTCGATTTTCTTCAACAACATCATAACGTCTGTCAAAAGTTTCCGGTTCAATGTCCCAACAATTGTGGTCTGAGAAACTATTCCACGAGAAAAGGTAAGGTGTAATATTCTCACTGATTCTCAGTAATTCTAACGAGAGTTTAATTGAAAGTTCATGCACACAGCCCGCATGGGACATAGTGCTACTTTATATGAAAGAACGCATGCTTAGTCCTGTTTTATGTGAGCAATTGGAGGAGTTCCGTGCTCTAGTGTTTAGAGAACGTGTAATACTGTTGTGAATGTTTTTCTGGCTTCAGTCAGAGGATATAAAGGTCGTTATTTTCTGCTATGAGTGAGCCTGCCAGAATTTAAGCTAGGTAGCTCCACGATAGGGAAACAATCCATAACACCGTTACGATCCCTTCTAGGAGGTTTTCTCCGTTAAACTTCGCAGGGAAAATGCGAAAGACTTATAAGGAATATTTTTAAATTTCAATTTCCTGATTCATAAATTACGAAATCTTAGGAGTAATTTTGAGACCCCGAATGATTTGTTTTCGCTACGCACGAGGGAGGATTTCTCTGGCTGCTCATTCAAGACTAAGTCTTTTTCATCTTTTTGTTTAGAACTTAGGATACCAAATTGCGGTATGAAACAGCTTTCAGTTGATATCCAATTGCAGGTTTGGCGGAGAGGTCGTGCGTTTGTATTGTATAACCATATCATAAAACGAATTACAGCGAATTGTCAAATGAATATGCATTTTCTCATTCTGTAGGGTTTAAAAAATTCCTACCGACCAGTGTGGCAGTTGAATAAAAGAGTTCAATAACCTCATCGTCTTTTTTTAGTTTCAAAGAACAAGGACCAAATCTCTCTTAGAATCACACATGGAAAGCCACTTGAACTTAGCTGTATGCAGCCTTGAGACCACTCAGAATCAGGTTAAAGATCAGTCAAAGCAGATTGAGCGATTGACATCTATATTCAATGATAAGTCACAGCAGTTGAATGATCAGTCACAGCAGATAGACAGTTTAACGTCCACTATGCAGGGTCTGGTGCAGCAGGTAGAAAGCCTGACAGGCCAAGCTGTGCTGGTGGACAAAACAACCAACCAAACCAATGACGAGACAAACAAGATAGGGGCAACTAATGACAAGAGTGAAGAGGGTAAGTTTCTGAAGATACTGTGGCGCTACGTCGATGGGGGGTATAATAAGATAACTTGGTTTTATCAACTGAGTTGGTGATGTAAATTGATCACCGTAAAGAATTTCTAAAGCTGACGTTTTGACCGGCAGCCCTTCGTTAGAGCGAATGATGAAATTTTGGGTTGCGTGTGTTTTATAGGCAGAAAAATAGAAGTCTCAAAGATAATCACACTCTTACTCGTATCCGACACATTATTACCAGCAAGTTAGTATTTGATATTTACTTTTTTCGGGGGGTGGGGGGGTTGGGTGAGGGAGGGGTGCACTGGTGTGTAGATTTTCTGATAACTAATGTTACGCAGAGCTAAGTCATTTGAACTCCGGTCCAAGTAAAACTACTGGGCTATGTGGGCCTTTGATGACCTAAAACATCAATGAAGTCTAATTGATGATCGTGATGTAAATAGTATGATGGTCGTTTTACTTATATGTTGTTTTTGTTATTTGTTGCAGGTAATACTATGAAACAGGGCTTCAAGCCTAAATCAATCAATGATATTGAAGTTGGTATGAAGGTATTGTTTAGTTCGCTTGGGAAACTTCGAGGAACAGTCAAGTACGTTGGACCTGTATGTGGACTAGGTTTGGTCGTCGGCATAGTGTTAGATCCAGGTGAAGGTAATATGATGATTAAAATGTTCTAATGAAAATACGTGAGGGTTATTGCTCATGATAAAAGTGGAAAAGTTAGTGAACTTGAAACTTTTAAAAAGACGGTACATCGACTGCTGTAAGTATCAACTATATTTTGTTCAGAAGAGCTATTTTATGCGCACTGTCTAGGGAGCTGTCCTGAAGCAGTAACATTGATAGGCATCATGGAAATGTATTCTGAAGGTAATAAAACGAGGATACTCATTGAAGTTTAGAGTCGAGATAATCCGCCCCCAGATCGAAACATTGTCCTTTCATGATGAGGTTTTGTGGGAAAATGTTCTCCCCTCATTCATAATAAAACTAAACCTGCATTTAGATTACAACAACTTGTTAGCGAGTTTGAGGCTCACCTTTTATATTGATTTTCTCTTACTTTAGATAACTGAAAAATTTTTCTTTATTCAGAAGAACCGGTTTGGTTAGGTTACCGTGGGTGCAACGGAACGTATGAGGGAAAAAGATACTTTAGCTGGTGGGTAATGTTATGTCTCCCGCTTAAGATAATTTTTGTAACCCAGAAATTCTTATTCGATGTACACGTCACTTGACATCGATGGCGTATGACATATTGATAAGAACGGAATTAATTCTGTAACGTCTCCATTTACTCGTGCGCATCTATTTTCGGTTGGTGTCATTAAAATGACAAAGTATATTTTTGTTTGTTGTATTAACCCTCAGTGCACCTGGTAGAGGCTGCTTCACCACGTTTGATAACGTTCTTAAGTGTTACAGATGACGATATCAGTAATGTGGCTGCTGTTTCTTTGCTTCCAATGTGAAAGAACAAGAAAAGTCAGAACAGTCTCTGTCTACCACCTTGAGATGTTCGCCCACTGTTCAAAAGAGATTTCGTCGACCAATCACAGCAACTACTCCTTGGTCTACCGTCTGTTTGTAAATTCAATAGAAGTTAACAGGCTTGTCATAAGGCTCGTAGAATTTCAAATATTTTACAAACGTATGGTATTAAAGTAGATACCATAGATTCTTAATTTCCAGATGTTTCTTCAAGATATTATTAAATAAACTTTCTTGCTAATTCATAATCTTTAAATCATTTTTCTCTTTCCTCATTTTTTGTCTTTCCAGTGTCATGCACGGAGAATGTTTTCTGATTTGTTAAGGTAGATACTATGCAAACTAATTTCAATTTTGAAAGGCAGGACCGCCACAAACTTGGCAAACTGGGAGGAATTTTAATCCTCGGCCTCAACACATGCCTCAGTTGGCGAGCGTCACTGAGTTTATAACAGCTGCTCAGGACTGAAAACACGATGAAATAAAAAACAAAACAAAACAAAACAAATCGAAAAGAAATATAGACTTGAAACTAAAAGAACTGGTTCAAAAAATAAATAAAAGGAAAAGGGCAAAGCTTTGTCCTAAGACAAGCTGTAGTATCTAGTAATAAATAGGCGAGTAAATTATAGAAAGACCCGTGATTCTGTAAAATAGATCAAAAGATACTGAGAGATATCCGAAGATGGATCGAAAGATACTGAAAGATATCAAAAGATTGATCGAAAGATACTGAAAGATATCAAAAGATTGATCGAAAGATACTGAAAGATATCAAAAAGATGGATCGAAAGATACTGAATCAATGGCATAGATATTGTTTTGGTTTCCACTACTAGGGAGGCTAATAGTGTTTGTGCTTCTGTCAGTTTGATAATATTATGAATTTAGTGAAATGTCCTAGGACGCTGAAATTACGCCTAATTACGATAAATAAGCTGGTGGTTGATCAATACAAAAACGACTTCCGATATGTTTACAGTTGATGGTTCGCTCCTTCCTCAAGATAGACGTCACAATTAAATATTCCATAAATAATTAAATCAGTTGCATTTAAATTGCACGAAGACCAATGAGCAGGTAGCACGTAGTGATATATAACTCCAAACTGAGTATAAAAAAACTCAGTAAGTCATTTCTGTCGCTTAAAACATGACGATTTATCAAAATTTTTTACTGAAAATGCAGAGGAGAAAACTTACGAGCGGTTGTTTTGCTCTCAGGAATAAACTGCAGGAATACGTGGCTATCTGATATTTCTTTCGGCGTTCAATGTTTTGCTGGCCATTTGTTCATCTCTGGGCAATATTCTGATCCTGATTGCCCTTCACAAAGAGACATCTCTTAACGCGCCATCAAAACTGTTTCTCCGATCCCTGGCTACAACTGATCTCCTCGTTGGTGTCATTTCTGAACCTGTAACCATAACGTGCTGGATGTCCGCGGTGAGAAAGCGACAATAAATTTAAAGGCTTGAAATTGTCCTTAAAGTGCTTACAGCCACTTTATGGAATTGATGAAGGTTTAAGCTTTAGTTAGAGCTAATACCAAATTCCTTTTTTTTATACCAATTTTTGACTCAAGCCGTCAGTCATTTGTAGATGATATTGCTAAACAATCTTAATTTGCTTCATCAATATGACGAATAAGAGCAAGATGTAAAATAGCAGCTCTTCTTTCCCATAATTGACACAGCTAATTTAGATATATACCTAGCTGATGGAAAAAAGGGCATATTACGTGTAGTGCTTGGATTTGAAATTCAACCATAAATGTTAATAATATCTCTCAGAGTGAGTGAAGAGAACTAATCATATCTATCATCCACGGGGGAAGATAATTTCTTATCCAAGTGCAGACCTGTAAAGTTCTGTTTATTTTATAGCTATTATGTTTAGATAAAATACCACTTTAAAACACATTTTAACAACGCCGAATGAAGAGATTACCTGCAAGAAAACTTCTTTAATTTCTGACACGAAAACAAAACAATTGCTTGTAAAAAAGATGTCTTTCCATTAAAAGAGTTGAATTCAATCTTAGTAACATTGGTAGGTTTAAAAAAGGAAACCGTCGTGGAAAGTTTCACCGCCATATTTCACCGCAATATTGGTAAACATAGTCACCATAATAACACTGATATCTTCTCAGGATAACGATACGCCAACTGCACCAGGTGAAGTTGTCATGTTTTCGAAGCAGGACAAATTCTGTTATTTCATTAATCCCTGTATGATAGATTGCGCTAGTATTCGCGTTTTGCTCAACTGCGGCCTCGTCTAATATCAAAATGTTTTTCACTAATTTGTATGAAAAGCTTTTCTACCTCGAATATATTATGGGGCAAGGGGAATTGCTTTTCTTGACTTTCTTTAAAGAAATGTTCTCTGGTTTTAAAAAGAATGTCCACGGTTTGGTGGAAATTCTGACACTCAGATTGGTCGAGGGTTGCATCGTACCTTGCTATAATCACCTCGCGCAAGGTGATTATAGCAGGAGCGCTAAATTTCGAAGTAGCTGCCTCGCGTTTTTAAGTGCAATTCAGGGAAATGGTCGTAAGAAGACCCAAGGGTTTTTGCCCTATAGATTAAAATCTTGGTCAGAAATTATAAGTAGACAGCAACACTGGGAGATATGTTCACCGCACTTTTTGCAAGAGGTGTGGGTTTTACAATTCAAGTTTTGTCGAGACAAACTCAGTCTATCCACCAAAATTAGCAAAAAAAAAAAAGGAATTGTGGTTGGCAGAGACCACAATTAAAAAAACGGAACTATTAGCCTTTATTATACTATATTATTATATCGAAATAATAATTGTCTATTTTTTCATACGGCACCTGTTCTTTTTGACAGTCACTGCTTGCGCAAAATAAGTCAAATTGATGCCGGAAATTAATATTGTTTCAGACTGTTATCTCCGAATGAAGGCTGTTTCAATCGTATTAAGAAGGCATCGAAAGAACTGGAAATTTTACAGAAGGAAGAATCTCTTTTACCAAAAGTGTGCCGATATCTAAGAAAATCTTAAGCCATCATCAATTTTATAAGCAAACTATAAGCTCTTCAGGGCCCCAGCCTTGTAATTTATGGGCAGCAAAGTGTTTCTCTGATTATATCTTTAACCGATTGCCTCACTTCTCTGATCTTCCAGCAGTAAAGCAACGGGTTTAGTGTTGAATTTACGTAAACTAGAGTTACTGTAAATTGTCTGAGCACAATAATAGCCGACGACTGTCCACTATAGGTCCACAAAGCTGTGATTATACCATGTGGAAGATAACAAACAGCAACTGCTAACTGCAGGCACATTACACTGAACACTCCCTTCCTATATCGAGAAATGTTCAGTGGCCCTGAACTTGAGATGTTTGATTGCTCAGGTTGGATAATGTTGCCACGTACCTGAGTTTCATGGCGGTGGAGTTTCCAAAAAATCGTCGTGTAAGACGAAACTGAGGTTAGGAAACAAACAAGTATTGTTATGTGGGTGTACCATGTTGTTATACGAGAATTATACGCATGCATCACGGAGCACACAATGCAAAATATCCAGAATACAAGAACGATTGCTCGTGCCCTGTTCAGCGTCACAATTTGTTTATATCTCAGCTTCAATGACAGAGCAAGAAGTCTGTCCACGCTTATTGCAGTCAGTGTTAACAAAGAAATGCCACAGAGGAGATATCCCACAATGATACTGGTGAAAAATGTGATATAACATTCATCCCATCGTTTTCTCACCGCTGAAATCCAGTACGTGATGGTTAGAGGCTCAGAAATGACACCAACGAGGAGATCAGTTGTAGCCAGGGATCGGAGAAACAGTTTGGACGGCGCGTGAAGAGATGTCTCTTTATGAAGGGCAATCAGGATCAGAATATTACCCAGGGATGAACAAATGGCCAGCAAGAAATTGAACACCAAAAGAAATATCAAATAGCCGTGTATTCCTGTAGTTAATTCCTGAGAGCAAAACAACCGCTCGTAAGTTTCCTCCTTGCCATCTTCAGACATGTTTCGGTAAATCTTCATGATTCGAGCAACAGAAATGACTTAATGAGTTTTTGTATACTCAATTTGGAGTTATACATCACGATCACTGTGTGCTATCTGCTTAATGGTCTCCGCGCAATTTTTAAGCTCAAACATGCCATTATCAAATTGTTTGTCTAAGAGCAGGTGAATTTGAGAAGCTCTGCTCTTAATGGAACTTTAATTAAATTTAATTGCACTATTAAATTTGTTTACACTCTCTTTTAAAAACAAATTTAAATTATACCCCTCAGAACCACCGTTGAATATTTCAGTTAACAGCACAAATCAGGGGCTTCATTTGTATTGATGAAATAGTAGCTTATTCGTCTTAATTAGGCGTAATTTTAGCGTCTTAAAACATTTCTTTGAATTCCTGATATTATTTAATTAACACGAATGCAGACAGTATTAGCTTTCATGGCGGTGGAAACCAAAGCAAACATCCTATGATATTCGATTCGTATTTTGGAATAGGATCGGCTAATCGCGGAACCCCCTGGAGACAAACATTTCTTATCTATTTTATTCCCAAACGCGTGCCAATCTTTATATCGGCAATGTCTAACCGGTTTTTTTTTTCATGTTTTTCTAGCCAGCCCCTCTAGTTTTAGGAATACATCTTTATTCAATATTACTATCGGTTTTTGGCGTGTAAATCGAAGAAATACTTGTTAGTGAATTCTGATCGTCCATGACGCGGGAAACCTGAAATAACTCAACGTTGTCGTTGATTGACATCTCGAGAATCAGCAGAGGTCATCATTACTTGTAAGGGGAAGACCAAAGTAAAGTTTGGACGCTCTTAATATAACGATGGCTTATATTATATAGCCTTCTTGATCATAAAAATTACAGTTTCCTCGATTATGATTGGTTTAAAAACCTATTTTTCACTAATTTATTTGTCAAGTTGTTATCGGACAGTTTATTATCGGACATTCTAATAAGCCAATCACATTGAGAGATGTAGTTTAAATCGACCAATCACATTCCTTTTGATTGTAGTCAATTTAAGAGCGACATTAAACAATTTACGCTTCCTTTGTCAAGTCTTTTAATGCAAATTTTCCCTTTCTTTCATAACTAAGCTATTCTTCTTTGCACCACTTTCGAAATGGACTTAATCCTGGGAAAGCGAAAGGCGAAAGTTTTATTAAGGAAGGTGGAGAGTGAAGAGGTTACAGCTGACATCACTGATGTGCTTTGATGGAAC